GTATTATTGCAGCAATACTCTATGTTTAATTGAAGCTAATATAAGTAGTTTAATAACATGTGCTGCCATGCTCTGCGATGCGACATCATTGTTTGGATTCACTTATTACACATTATGACCGCTAATATATGCATTCAGAGGAGAGTAATCACAATCATCACAGATCTTTATTACCGGGAAGATATATATTTTGGGCAGAATATTTCGAAATTCACAATTATGAAAAGAAAGTTGGACTTAGACGAATCAAAATTTTCCCTCACTGAGTATTTTATAAATTGCTTTGGGCCATTTAGCTCTTAAACACTTTCCTCCAATTTTGCTAAATAAAACAAGCTTTTTACAGAATTTCTTATGTTGAACGATTTTATATTGTTAATCTAACTAACTGTATACTCTGGCTTAGAGGAATATTCTAGAACGCAGTATGCAGTTATGGTTGTTAGATAAAATTAACACTGGTGGTCTATTTTCTCGGTGCGACCTTGTTAAAAGTAAACGTCGGTACATACAATTTCCTTCGAATGAAGTGATTTGTTTTGCATTGTAAATTTATAGACGCAAATAATGAGACCGTATTTTTTAATTCTGGTTAAGCTCTTAATACATTTAGCGACGGCGCATATTGTCCTCAGTAAAATTAATGAACGCTCTTTATGATCAACGACATGCTGTTTCGGTCATAGGCAGCGACATGAACGGTATAAAATATAAAAACAAAATAACTTTAACTATATAATCAATTTTTTTTATAATTAATTGATGTTCTAAATAGGGTCAGAAGTTAGGTAGTTATGTTTAATTATCAATAGGAAAATGCTTAAAATATATATTGTAATTGTTCAAATTGGCGGGATAGTAAAAGAAATTAAAATTAATTTTCATTGCCATCACAGGCATCGGTTATTTCAAGTCCATGTGCATTGTTGTATCTGCTCTGTACTGCAACCCCTCTTTTCAATTTCTAAGGGACATGTTTGTTAGAGTCGTACTAAAATCAAATTCGCATTTCGTATATTACAACTTCAAATACTTTGTTTTGCAGAGCAACGCTTATTTCAACTTTCGGCATAACGTTGTTGATCATGAACAATTCCTTAAATTTACCATATAAAAATAGATCCATTGCAACTGCATAGTGTCTCCCAACGTTTCGTCCTTAAGTGACTTCAAGTATTCGCTACACAATAATAGCTCTTATTCTCCAGAGAATTTTCAATTTTCTTTTTGTAATGCGTTTTTCGAGTTTTACGTAATGACCATTAGCTTGTGGGTTTTAGCCGTTACGTTTTTAGTTTCGGAGAAAATTTCCAGTAAATTTTGATACATCCGCCCTGCATATCATTCAAATTATCTTGGTATAAGGTAGGATAAAACTAAAAAAAAAACGAAGAAAATGGCTTCTAATTGCATACGTCCCAGTCCACTATTTTACATTCTCAAATATATCCTTAAGTGGACTCCGAAAGTTTGTTGCAATTATACATTTGATTTGGAAAACCTAAATTTCCAAGCTTAAAAAATCAAGGCATAGTGTTTAATAATGGTTTGATTCGTTTTGCCGACCTCAAATTTATTGGTCTTCTGATACTGTACATTAATAGTCCACATTCCCGTGACGCATGTAGTATGTACAGTACAGTTAAAATCCGTCATGGTCATATCTAGCGGCAGTGCATGACCACCAATCACAGTTATTATAATACCATAGATTTTTTTCACAGAGAGTTGCCAATATGAATTCATTAAAGTATTAACTTTTTAACTAGAATAGTTTCAAAAGTCATAATAATTTTAATTGTAAATCTAACAACTATTGAATATTTAAAATGAACATAACGAATTCAGATTGCATTGCAATAGGAGAATTAAGAAACCGTGTATGCAATTTCCTTCGAAGTATTAACGAAAAGTACAATTGCTTTATATATACACTCATTACGGCAAATGGTTTCTTAAAAAATGATCATATTTAGTTTCTTCATGAGCAACGGTACATTAGTATATTAATACAATACTGGCCGACCTTCGAGCGACTATATCTTAATAACAAAATAGTTAGACATTCTATCGGCCACAGATTAAAATAATGCTACGAAAGCAAATAAAAAACATTTTATTTTAGGTTGCAATTGCAATGCAATTAATTTTAGAATTATGTCGCAATTAATAGATATAGAAGTCAAACCAATGATACATAAAAATTTCCGTTGCACAACCAAATATTAACGAACCCTTTATTTCATATCAAAATGCGCCACAAATAATCCAACAATATTTCATGGCTATAATTTGCAAAAATATCTAGAACATAGCAATAAAAACGAAAGCGAAAGAGACATTTTTACGACTCAATAATATTTTACTTTCATTAATCTGACCAGACACATAATTTTACCGTGGTTGTAATTATTTGCGATTTTACCTTGACTATAGAATTTCAAATTTTAACGGTATTCGCACATCAGTTGTTTTTTCGATCATGACGAATATACGCGTCTTGAAGAAAAATACAACACTTTGAACGTCTTTGTCGTGTCCCTTGATCGATCTCTTTATACTCACAGGTCTCAAGTCACACTAAATTATTAATTTTATGTTCGTAAAGTCAAAACTTTGTAAAAAAAGAATACTTACTTGGTTGAATTAAAGGTGACATTACTAATTTATTAGGAAAATTTATTTATTTAATAAACGGAGTTATATTTTTTGTATTTTGAATAATATTATCTAGCCATAGCAAGCAATTTGAACACAACAACCATAACTGTATGTACTTTACAGAAACGTTAATGTTGTATCCTTATTTCATAATTTAATAATGTGCCTTATAATTACTTCATTAGTTAACACAAGATTTGTCAAGACCAATTCTACTTTTCCATATTTCCTCTAAATTTTAATAGCCCGTATTTGAAACTAAGTCTGAAAGTAGTATTATAGTGGATTTAAAAAAAAAAATGTGACCGTGATCTTAAGAAACAAGAAGTTTTTTGCTGAACAGGAAGCGATTTTTTATTCAGTGATCTAAATATTGATACGAGCATTATCAAAAATAATATCTGATAATACAAGACCAATTTATTTCTAACATGTTTTGTTAAATATTATGTTATGTTAGAAACAAAAAGAAAAAAAAAGCGTTTTTAAACTTTCAATTTGGATTTGATTGATTATGTAACTTAATACTTGTTTTAACAAGAGGGTTGACGATACTTGATTTGGAATATTTTTCCATTATTATTGGATTGTTGACTGCAAAAAAAATCTGGTATAATTTTTATACCATGAATTATGTCATAATGAATTTCTCATAAAATTATAAATATACGTATAATATATTAAATAATAAGTAACAATAAAATGATTTCACTTCTTCCAAGCTTTAAAAATGCGACACCAATTATTTAAAAGTATTTCCATAACTAAAGCTTATCGTATAATATTGCATATTTAGCAAATAGTTCGGATAAACGATTAAGCGAAGGTCAGAGATATATTTCAAATGTGACTGAATACGTGCAAAAGTGCGCTATCGAATCTAAATCACTAAGGAACTACATCAGTTTAAACTTATTATTTTGTAGCCACTTTCACCGACTTAAACCGGTAAGTCAAGCAAATATTGACAACAAATTCGAGTTGAAACGTTTGTTCTTTCAACTGGAATACGACCGGCGGATATTGGAACGTTTTTTTTTTATATTAACAATATTAGTTTGTGCAATAGGAATTGCGGTAATTTAATCCAGCGAACAATAAAAATTATTTCTTTGTTTATTTTTAAACGCATATAAACGTCCGAAACGAGTTCGCTTGACAGCAAATATTGCACCGAGAATCAAAATAGTGAAAAATAGATAATGCTAAAATAATATTAATGTCACTGAAGAAGTTTATGCACTATACTATTTCTACGACCAGTGTATTTTGACCTTTGGAACTAATAAACGTCAAAATACCAAAGTCGTGAAAGTACTGGAAAAGTCCGAAGTGGCCCGTCGCAGTGGTTAACGAAGCTTACGGTTTTAAGTGACACTTTACCAACGCTTATTTTCACATTCCGACAAGAAGAAAAGCAAATTTCGATCTAAAAATAGGAAAACCCGTGACTAAAGTAGCGGAGACCTCCGAAGTGTTTAATTTTGAACACAATATTTTTTTTCTTCTTCTTCAAGAACTTTATCGGTGGCCTTTCTGAACTTAGACGTCCATTCCACTGGCGTAGATTTTTCAGCCATGATGTTCTACCACGTCCTGGACCTCGTCTACCACCTATTTTTCCCTGGATAATGACGTGTAGTAGTTTGTAGTCATTACGCTTAACGTGACCAAAGTGCTGCAGTTTTCTCTTTCTTTGTTTATTCGATAAAGTACTTCAATTTTCGTAATTCTATCTGTCCAAGGAATCTTAAATATCCTGCGATACACCCATATTTTGAAAGCTTCCAACTTTTTGCACACTGCATATGTGAGGGTCCACTCCTCGACACTGTAGAACAGTACATAGATAGGAACATAGCAACGTAGCAGTCGGGTTCTGAAGGGAATATTTAAGTGTCTACTGGCCAAGATCATCGGCATATTTAGGAACGCTTTTCTGGCTTACTCTATTCCAATCGTAACTTCGGAGGTGTGACAGCCAAGACAAGTATCTGATCAAATTACAACCTTGCATCACCTGAGCTTTACTGATAACAAGCCGTTTCTGTTTTTTAACATTGAGTCCGCACTCGCTGGGTTCCGTAACTGCAGTTAAGAGTTGTGTTGGTGGCAAGTAATATCATGTCATCAGCACTTGTTTGTCCTTATATCCTCCGAAAGTTCGTTATGCACTGTGACCGCCGCTGTTTGGCCCCAGATTTGCCATAATGCGAATGTCACTCCCATTTAGTCCCATTTCTATGAGGATGACAATTGGTTTATCCGGCCTTACGGTATAGAAAGCTTTTTATTATTAACAAAAAATTTTGAACTTAAACGTCTTTATTTATTTTCAGGATCAGGGAACAAATGGTGCTGAGAGAACAACTCAACCTAGGGGCCGGGGCCGAACGAGATTTTCAGCCACACAAGAATATTCAGACACTTCCGATTTATCCGATTCAGGGAGAAGGGCAAATTCTAGGGCTAGAACTGCTACTAATGCTAACAGAGCAACGACCATTAACGGGAACCGGGCATCAACTACTAGCGGAACCCGATCTTCCAGTAATGGATTAACTAGCAGTAGAACTTCAAATTTCAATGGAAATAGAGTATCAACTAATACGGGTAGTCGTAGCTCCGAGCGTAGAAGTCGTCCTACAGAACAGCCTACGGGTTACGCTGTGCAAGAAATTTTAAACGAATCGCCTATCGACTCATTTCGACGACAAAGCAGACCGAGAGTTTTAACCGAGAGCAGATTTGATCCGGTCATTCCGCCTAGAAGAACCACCACCGAATCCGTCGAATTGGTGAGAGACGAAGCGGTGGAAGAATTCGTTAGTACGTTTGGCAGTACGGCTAGAGCAATTTTATCGGCGAGAGGTGAAGTTCCTCCACCGCCACCATCGAGAACGACCACACCAAAAATCGACGAAGAGTATTTGAGTACTTTCGGTGACGCTGTGCGCTCGTTGGTGCCAGCTAAAGTTACCACTTCAAGAGTTGACGATGAATATTTGAATAGTTTCGGAAACACCATAAGATCCATTGCTGCTTCTAGAGGCGCAGTGGTAGCTAGCGGACGGGCTTCACCTTCGCGAACAATAAATAGAAATGAAGTCCAGCAGCAAAGAGCAACCCCTTTACGATCCGAAACTCCAATATTAAACGAGGAAGATATTCCGCTACAAAAACCTTCACTCAGAGATCCTTTGCCCTCTCTAAGAGGTTCCGACTCAGATCTAACACAGACACAATCGCTAAGGTCATCGTCGAGAAATAGAGGTCAGGACAGAATTCAAGAGGCTGGAACAAATGATAGATATGAGCCTCAGAGACGTGTCGCGTTGGACAGCATTGAGGACGTCCGATATGAACCGGAGAGGAGGGTGGTGGAAGAACCAGCCAACGTCAAATATCAACCCCCGTCTGAAGTACTAGAACAGGGATTAGTAGATTTAAAGGAAGAGATTACAGGAATTAATTCTGGCGAGGCTCCCATCGAAGAAATAAGTGTAGAAGAGGAGCCTCAAATCATCACTCCTCTAAAACCGACTGAACCTCCGCAGTCGAGAAGAGTGCAACAGGTTGGAGGTCAGCGTTCTAATACTAGAGGACGTACAGTGGAATACGAATCGCAACCGGCCACAATACAAAGGTCGAGAAGTTCTCTTAACCGCGCCAATCAGAGAGCAGAAACAGCTAGCAACGTGCAAGTCTCAAGGGGAAGAGGTGCTAGGAGGAGGTACGAAGATGTTTCCGCTGCCGAAAGTAAAACCAGAGGCCCTTCTATTTTCACGGAGGAGGAATATCAAGTAGTTAATACTAGATCCAGAACTGGCAGAAGGATCGGTGCCGACTTGGAGAAGTCTATAGACTTGTCACCGACTACAACAAGAAGTAGAACTAGCGGGAGAAGAGCTACCACAGCAAAATCCGGAGGGCGGTACACGAATGTCGACTACGGTGTTAAGAGTGTAACCGGCTCCAAAGAACTCCCTACTATATCATCGAGACGAAGCAAATTGGTTTCTAAAGATGATTTAACGACGCCGTCTAGAAGAAATAATATAGCATCCGGTGTTAGTGTAACGAATACCCAGTCGCGAAGTAGACTAGGTGATATTACAACAATAAATGAAGATAGGTTGGAAGTTCTTCCTTTATTTGATCGAGAATCGAGGGTAGTTGCTCCATCTAGTCGCACGAGGGGTGGATCTAGCCGCAGGCAAAACTCGGTTAACGATTCGTTTCAAGCTAGCGCGACGGAGAACGACATGAGGTTTGTTCAAAAACCTTCGAGCGCTGTTACACGGGTAAGCGTGTCTATGACGCAGAGCGTAGAACCAAGAACCCCACCAACTACGAGAGCTGCTACAAGAAGAATTCCTACGACACCCTCAGTACCAGTCACCGCAAGACCTACCACTTCTACTCTCAGAACTACTATAACCACTACAACTGCTAAACCTACTACGAGAAGAGCGCCACTGATCAAGGAGTCGGTGATTGCAGAATACAACGAGGTTACTTCGAAAAGTACGATAACGAGGAGGAAAAAGGGAGACAAGTTGAAAACGGAGCCTAATACTTCCAGAGGATATAAAAAATCTAATAGTAAAGGAACAGTTGGAAATAAAAAGATTTCCGAAGAAGACGTTGATGAAGAGGAAAACTATCCAGCGGCGTTCAAAGCTCTTATACAAGCTAAAAAAATTGATGGGGTAAGTTTTATTTCAGTATAATCCACAACAATAATTACTACACAGCAAACCTTATAACCACTACACTATTATATATATCTAGCACCTTGGAAAAGTAATACCTGTATGTGTCCAATTGTCCAGACTTTTGTCATCACAGAAGATTAGATATTAGTATAAATAATAGTAATAATAAAAGGTTTGGAAACATTGAAACCATATCCGAAAAAGAAAAGACAAAAATACCATACCAACAATATAACAAAAAAAAAAAAAAAGAAAAGTAAGGCACCTCAATTACTCATATCGAGAACTATAAGATAACTTGACAAGTGTTATTAGTTCACTGACAAGAGTTTAGCTTAGCCATAGTTCCGAAATAAAAACAGACACATAAAGGCTTGTTTATTCAATCCGAAATAACGTTTAAACAATTTTTTAAATCGTTGTTTTTCTTTAATGTTACGTAAATTAGCAGGTATTACATTATACAATTTAGGGCCGATATATGATAATAAAAAGTTTTTCCTGATTGTTTCCTCTCGTGTTGTAATTGTGACAAATAAAATTGTTAAATTTTTCATTTGTATGGACAAAACTACATGCAGTTATTATATACAAACTTCTAATTTCACGTATATCCCCACAGTACAAGAGCTTCGTTGCATACAGTCTTGGTTTTCTCAGTAAAGTGCGCAATATATATTTATGTGTTACTAGATGATAGTTCTGTACTCCTCTACATAATTTATTAGGGATTCCACTAGTGCTTTATAAATTATAACAATATTTTTCAAAAATTGGCCCTTTTATACAGAGTATTTCTTAATAAAATCCGATATTTCACAGAACGATTCTGCAAGTATTTTTATGAAAAAAAAAGAGAGACCGAAAATTTATTGACTTTACTTTATCAAAGAAAGTAGTCAAACTCGAATTTTGCATACTAAACGACAAAATTAGTGGTGTACCATTTTGTCTTTCGAAGATCTTCAATAACAACCTCTCGTAAATGCCCCTGGTAAAACCAAAAAATGCTCTTAGATCCTTAAGAGATGTGTAAAATTTGATTATTTTCTTAGCCGTTTTAATGACACTATTAAGTAATTAGTAAAAAATAGTTGCCGTGTGAAATAACCCTGTAGATAGAATAAGTCGGTAATTCAAATATCCCCTTGCAACGGGCTATTCGGATTAAGGAGCTTGCATTGTATTTTTTCATATATGTTTTTCAGATATTTTATTGAACTGCGGAGGCTTTTACTTGATGAAAATCCATTTATCAAATTAAATAAAGACACGGTGTTGTCGAAACAATTGTCATGTCATAATACATAATTTCGTGAAAATCTGAACTTTTAGTTCTTATTTATTTTGACAATATTTTTCCTTAACATAATATTTCGCAATAGATAAAATTTATTTGCAATGCATCGCACTTTCTTGCACAGATAAAGAATATGTTGATCCCATTTTAAATGTTTATTTATCACTACAGTTGTTTAATACCGGCTCATTCTTTCAGGGGTTTCGTTACATTGTTCACAAGAATTTCATTATAATAAGGCCGACTGGCTTCTGTTAAGTAATAGGCAATATATTGTGTGTTTGCAATATTTAAACTTAGCTTTAGCTAATAAAGGATATTTTTAATGCTCATAAAACCCATCTTCATCTTTTCTCTGACTTCTGATCAAGTTTCTGCAGGAACTACAAGAACTTTGCTTCGAAACGGTCGTTTTTGGAAGCAAAGAAATTCTTTAACTAAGCAAGTTATAATAAGTGACTGCTAACAAATTACCTTGGAAACAATATAAATGTTGTATAATAATTTTCTTATATTTCAGCAAAAAAAGAACTACCTACAAATAAAATATATTCGGATATAGCAATCAAAATGAAAGATGCGTTTAATGCTAAAAATATTTAATTAAATTAACATACTTGGAGAGCTCGGCTTCGAATTAACATAATTAAACATTTTGTTAAACTACCTATAGGTAACTTTGTAAATAGTTTTGAAAATATTCTAGGAAATCTTTAATTTAATTTTTAATTGCGTAAAATAATAAATATGAATAAAAAATTAAGAGGAAAAAGTGACTATTAAAGAAACTTTTACATGCTTCAATAAGTTGAGCCACGTTCGTATAAGTAAAAAACTAGGTTGTTAGAGCGAAAATATTTCTTTTATAAGTAAATTTTTCTGTAGAACTTATTTGAAAAGCATTCAAAAAATAATGTATTCCAAATTAAAAAGAAAAAACTTGACCCATAAAAATTGCGTGAAACTTTATGAGAACTGAATAACGAAACAAAAATTGGACATCCTGGGGATCCCTGCTAGTGCTGTAGATAATCGCGATTGTAATTTTTAATAATATTCCGACTAGAACACCATTTTTTTAATGATTGATGGTTGAAATATTTTATTAAATACCTACTTATTGCCTGTGATATGTAGATAACGCTTCCTCAAAACTCTTTGGAGAAATTCACCCGACCTTGCCTGATTTGCATCTATCGAAAATTCGTCTAAATTAACTAACGGTTTACGTAATAACGTAAACAAAAGCTGAAGCTTCCGGCGCACGTCTTCTCAGGACCATGACCGAGAGTCTCGAGGAGCGAATGAATGAACAAAGGTCGTGGCCATTATACCGCTTTGTAAATGGGAAAAATTTATTCACAAATTTAGTTCGAAGCGACACAAATAAAAAAATGTTTTATTAAAATTGCTGCGTATGACTTTCCTAAGTAGTATTCTTTTTAATTTGTTATCTCTAATAAAAAAATTCCCATATATTTTTTAGGCGTAACATTTAAAGCACATTAAATATCAGCAACGCCGCAGAAAACCTTTGCAAAAGACCATTCCTGTATGATTATTGGAATTTATATTTTCAAATATCAGAATGTAATTCATCATTTTCTATGGTAAATATTGAACAGTAACAGCCTATATCAACTGTCTCAGTAAATACCAAACCTTTTTTTTTCGGGAATATTCAGTAAATTTTCGAAAAAGAAACTAATAAATGGAATTATCAATTAAAATAACAAAGTGAAAGAAGACCAAACAAACAATTGTTTTCAAAAATGTCTTTAACTTAACCTTTGCTTATTCCAAAATTATTGAGAATATTGAAACTGATATAAAAATAGGAATACGTTTTGAGCTAAATAGAAATATAAAATTTTTTAATCTAGTGCATTCGTATATGAGTTAAAATGCTTTTCACACAGTTTTTACAACAAATCCATTGTAAGCTGGATCAACAAAATCTTTTAACCATCAATATATATATCAACACTTAAATCAATCTCATTGGTTCTTTCTTTTTTGCGAAAAACCTGATAAAAATGAAACAAATGCATATACAGATTCCTCTATTGATCAAATGATTTCGAATTCCGAATTTCGGCGCAGAGTTTCTATGGATGATAACTTTTTAGGGCGTTGGAAAACCTTCTCAGAGTGAAAGTAGCCACATCGTTGGCAATGCCAAATCCGTCGTGACTTCTTCCTTGCCTAAATCCTCAACGGCGAGTCGGACGGTCACGGCAGAAGCTGCGGGAACACGAAAAGGGCTTCAGGCAGAAAACGTGAGTGTCTGTTTATATGGCAGCAATTTCGAAGCGCTACTTGGCAATAAATAATAATAATAATATCGGAAAACTGCTTCACTGCTAACTTTTCACATAAAAAGGACATATTTTAATGTTTTCATAATGATGTTGTTGTAAACAGTTGTGTGTTCTTGAGATTGATTTCATTTTGCTAGATATGGAATGGAAATTACCAGAAAGAATGTAACCGCAAAAATGGATTTGCATTCTAAATTTTAGACTTTATTGATAAATTCTACTTAGAAATTTTTTTTTTTGGCAATTTGACTGGTAGATTGCAATAAACTTTGAAACTTGCCTACACCCACAGGTACTCTAAATAAGGTGACCAAGGACGGAAGCTCCTGCACAATCTATTATTATTAGAATTCTGGTTAATAACATCAGTTTCTAAATTGAAAATGAAGCGCCAATCAATAAGCAATCAAACCTTTTTTTCAATATTAAGCCAAGCTAATTTTACTCATTTCGACCAACACTGACTATTCCACTTTCAGGTAGGTTTACGATGGGAAAATATGTATATGACTCTTTTGGAGATTTTAGTAATTCAATTTTCATTGCCAATTATAATATTTATCAGATCATTTCATGCTTCGATCGCAAGCCATCTGTGGCTAATCGATTCATCTTCATTTTACATTCGGGATTTGATATTAAAATAGTTTCTAAAATCTGGGTGGCATAAAAGTCGTTTTAATATCTTGATGTTCTTGAAGATTATATATTGTATAAATACGCAACAGTGCCTCTCATAAATATGAAATGATAATATCAGTTGACAATGCAATCCTTGTCACGGACAGACTTGTGGAAAGAGAAAGTCAAAGCTGCCCGGTAATACAGATAATTACAGAGAACGTAGCAGACTCGGTCAAAATATCGGTGGGCTCTTTACAAAACACTTTATTTAAGGAATTATATACCAGATATGCGGTTAAAACTTTTCGGGCCGGACAACGCCTTCCCAGGCGACGAAAACTGCTTTAAAAAAGTGAATAAATAATAAAATATACCAGCATAATCTGCCTTGCCTTCCCTTCTTAAAAATTGAAAAAAAATATTAAGCCATTAAGCAATCATTATAAATGTAAATCCCCAATATTGTTGGGAAAAAGTACAAGTCAACGTAAAAAAGGGTCTATGCCTTAAATAGTTGCATAATGACAATGTTGAAAATTATTAATAATACAGTTGAACAGTAAGGGTATACCACCAGACTTACCTTACATTACCGTGTGTTTATAAGTATCCCAACCTTTCAAGTTAAAAGCTGTTACCTCAGACTAGACGACATATAGGTACTGCAAGCGTGTTATGCACTTAGCAAGGAGCTGTTTGAGTGTATATTCATTTTGTTAACAATTTTTTAATGTGCCTAAGTCAAAATAGTGCTAAATTAGTCGTTCCCAAAACCAGCTTTGCATATTTCTTGTTTATTAATATTTTATTTATAACTTTTGAGTGGTTTAGTAAATTAATTAAAAATATATTAAAAGTTGCAGCCCGATAGAGTTTGTCTCACTAAATGTAACAAAAATAGTGTTTTATGAAACACTTTAGTTACGAGATTCTGAGGAAGCTTATAAAAGTGTTACATACATACTTCTTCCACTATCGCCACATATTTGCAAAACAGCGGAAATACTCACAGACGTAATGAATGAGAACGCAAAACCGTCAGCGCTAACAAACGTCAAAATTTAATACACCTGACGTCTTAAGTAAAAGTATAAAGGTTACTTTCGTAATAAATTCCTATTCGAATTTTGCAAGTGGGTTGCTTTAAATTCAAGAAGAATTTATACGGGTGTTGTTTTAAACCTCGAACATCTCAGAAAGTCAGTAAAACTTAAATATAAGATAAATTACACTCATCTTATTTTTTGTCCTACAATTGATATCTGAATAAAAATATAGTGTGTTCCATTTGAAAATCTCGAGAGTTAATTGAATTCGCCACCTATTTGCGACACCCTGTATAAGCTGACGCCCATTTGTCAGACTGTAGTGCACCATCTCCTTATTCTGTGGTTACATTTTGGTTGGCAATCAAAATATAAAAAAACACATAACCTCAATTTCTGCCTAAATTATGCAAAATTCGAATAGGAATTTCTTAAGAAAGATACAGAGTGTTCAATTAAAAATAACAAAGTTGATGTCGGGGCGGACACTTGGGACACCCTGTATCAACAAAATTATAATATTTTAAATCTTCATTAAAATCCAGGAAACTTATGTCCGAAACTTTGTTTTTCGTATCTCTTATGGGTTTCCAGATCGTATAGCAGATCATTTTATTTGGCACACGGTGTACATATGTAAATGTATAAATGAAATAACTATTTTTTATTTGTATTCGTTAAATTTTATAACCTCTTGGTAGCAAAAAGATATTACTTAGACAATTTAAGTTAGTAGAGAAGGCTGCCTCCACATTATTCATATGAATCGCCAGGGAGGAAGGATAATCCTCAAATTTGGTTTCAGTTTCACGAAAATGAAATCGATTCAGAAACTAAGTTTTCCCCGGCGACACCCTCATCGACTGGTCGACCGACCAGAAATCGTCAACTAACTAAAGCTGCAGATAAAAAGCGAAAATTAACTAGCAGTACCGTTCAAACTGCATCCGTGAACAATAACAAAAGGAAATACACTAGACAACCACCGTCCGAGAACCATCCCAAAAGAAAACAACTCAGGTCTACCGCTGTGCCACCTTCCACGACGCCCATACCTGCGTCTAAAATAGACACCAGAGTTCCGGCAAAGTTCGTTAAGAAAGACTCTAGTTCGACTTACGCTAGAAACGGGCAAAATGATACGAGAAATCCCACTGGGGATTTGGAACCTGCGGTAAGTGTCGGGTGAACTATATCGGGAATATTGTTAATATAAAAGGTTATATAAAGGACATGAAAAATTATGCTGCACAACTTTAAGGGGGCTTTTTGGGAATCAAAAATTTCGCGTAAAATGTTTTGTTAAATATCTCGCCATCTCTTTTGCGGTCGCCCAACGCTCCTTTTACTTATGCGTGGTCTCCATTGTGTTATTTTTATAGTCCATATTTGGATTCTGGTGCGCAATATGGCCAGCCGACTGCTACTTCTGACTGTGCTATACGTTTTGTGATGTCGGTTACTTTTGTTCTCTCTTTAATTGCTTGGTGAGGCATTTTATCTCTCACTAATATTATCAGCATAGCACGTTCCATGGCCCTTTGGCATACTTCCAGCTACTCTTTTTTATGAATACCATAGTTTTTAATCCATAAGTTACGACTGGTAGTGTATAACTATTAAGATGTACTTTACTATGTTTAAGAATGTAACCAAGTTTACCAAAAGCCACTCCACATTTGGTTTTCTTCGATTTTTATGGTATGTCCTAGATATTTGGTCTGCGGTGTCTGTAGTGGTATTATTTATTTGTATGATGTTGTTGTTGTGACTTAGGATTTGCTTAGATTGCCTTTGCCTATAGGGCATCTGTTTAATTTTCAAGTTGTGATTTATTTTTATATGAAACGTTGCTTCAACAACAACATGCAACAACGACCATGTTTCGATACTCTCAAAAATTATGTTGACTGATAATGATCTAGTGCGTCTCTTTTTTTTTAAATAAAAAAGTCGAAAAGCAAAACCCCATTTTTAAAACCATATTTAAGCATTTTCTGTATACATATACATCCTTTACCACGACATGCCCAAAAAACTAAAGAAACAAAACTTGTATCTGTAGCTGATTAATTCTGAAGTATACATAAATCTGAAAAGAGCTAGTGACGAACGTTTTTTTATCAATAAAATTAAAAAAGTGCATTTTCACAGCGACACTGACTTAGACCTCCACTTCCATAAGATTACTACGATTATTATATTTATTTGTGATACCTTTCTTTTTGGAAGTAGTTATTGTTTTTTATAACGTGATGCTTTCTGTTGTTTTTTTTGTCTTAAAATCACTTTTTTAAATCCTTAATGTTATAGAATTTGACAAAATTAAAATATAAAGTACTTTTTTTATATAAAGCTGATTTTCAACAATAACAACTTAGCAGATGTTATGCACAAAATACTGAATATGAAAATTAAATGTTAAAGAAATGAAAAGAAATTTTTGCCTAACCAAGAACCTAACAAATAATAAATAAATGTGTAACAAAATGTGTCTTAGTATCTAAATATTAGCAGCGGAATTAACGCAATAAAACGTAATTAAATTCCCAGATTTAAAATACTTGCTTTCCGTGTAAACTGGAACAAGTTAAGTACGCAAGCATTAAATATAGGGATTAGTCTTTATATAGTATTACGCCAACGTGAAAACTATTTCTGCAAATATGCAAATTTATAATAGCTATACAAGGTGTTCCAAAAAGAAACAGGAATCCAAAAACTGGCTATACTTTAGAAAATGTTATTACGATTTTTGATTGTTTACGAGGTATAAAATAAATTGTTCATGTTAATGTTAATTTTGTAAGTTTTAATTAAGTGCATTTTTGATATTAATAAGATATATTGACGTAATAACATTTTATACGTAGGTTTGTTTATCATTAGTCTAAGTCTATCATTACTCTATGAGGAAATAAATACAATCCAACGTTGTGACAAATTAAACAAAACTATATTTTCTCGTATTTACACTGCACCTCAACAACAAGTTCATCGACACCTGTTATTTGGACAATAACAATTCGTCTAAGACCTGCCTTTCGTCTTTTTGAAGAAAAACAGTTTTTCAATTCCCGTCTCTAAAATACCTAATTACGCACCGATCTAGCGTGCGGGAAGCGTCACTTTAAAACGTCAGTTTCGTTCCCACGAATCCGAGCCACTTCGAACATTTCCGAGATTTTACCGCACGGGTTTGGGAGCAATCGGATGTTTTCGGAGATATTTCCCACTCTTTGAATTTTGACGTTCGTGAATTCTGACAGTCATGTCAGTGAATGTATTCGTGTTGTTTTGCGAAAATGTTCCCAAAAACTAACGGACGTAGAGAAAGTTTAGTTTATTAAACACCCGCTCCGCTCGTGTCAAATACATTCGTGAGTCAAATGCCGTTTACCGCACTTGTTGCATAATATACAGCTTTCCGCGTTACCCACGTTTTTTACGTCTTTTTCGTCTAACCATCTAATACACATATTCCTAATACTCGTGGTCAAGCGTCATGACCTACTTTTAACCTGTCGTCGATACGTATTAAAAACTAGTTCCGCACTCCAGGAACCACCGCAAAGCAAAATCTTCTCTAATTGCATGCAGAAATAGCAGACAAAGAAATACGGTGCTGGCGAAAACTAAACTAAAGGATATGACATTTTGTCTACATATAACAACGAAAACTACGATTCTACTGTCGTTCAGAAAACACAAAAAAACGATAAAACTAATGTTCATTCATTTATATTGCAATATAATAAGACTATTTCTTATTATATCAATTATTATCCCAATTTGGTTTTCGGTCAGGTAGGTCCACCATCCGTGCCTTATACACAGTGATTGAGCATGTGATTGATGGGTTTGAGGAGGGCCTGTCGACTTCGGTAACGATGTGCGACCTCACCAAGGCATTCGACTGCGTGGATACTAATATACTTCTGTCTAAACTTGAGTACTACGGAATTCGTGAAAATACCTTAGCCCTTTTAAAATCTTATTTGACCGGAAGAAAGCAATATGTTGTCTGGAATAATCGGGAATCCACTCTGTTGGACATTACTAATGGAGTGCCTCAGGGTTCCATCCTTGGTCCACTTTTGTTTATAATATATGTCAATGATGTAGTATTTGCAACAAATGCTGCTCGCAGTATACTCTATGCGGATGACACATCATTGATTGAATCGGAGAAAGATCTAACTTATTTAAATAAAAAGGCTGTCACTACACTCTCTATGATTGAGCACTGGTTCTCTGCTAATAAACTTAAATTAAATTCCGATAAAACAAAGACTCTAATTTTCAATACCAATCGAAGAAGTAAAAAATCTGAACCGGTCAAACTCCTTGGTGTTTACCTAGATGCGTTTTTAACGTGGTCGCCTCATATAGACTACCTGTGCGGTAAATTGTCATCTCAGGTTTTTGTTCTGAGACAACTGCGAGGTTCGATCTCGCAAAGCACTCTCCGTATAGTTTATTTTGCACTGTTTCATAGTATCTTATCTTATGGTCTACTACTGTGGGGGAACGCGACGGAGGCCGAGAGAGCCTTTAGATTGCAGAAGTCTGCGGTTCGGGTTCTTGGGGGTGTTCCGCCGTCCAGCCACTGCCGCCCAATATTCAAAGAATTGAAAATACTTACGTTACCATGTATGTTTATTCTCCAAACTTTAGTCGAAATCCACTCAAATTTGTCTGTTTTTCCGACTCATGGTGGATATCACAGTTACATGACGCGAACAGCTGACAATATCAAAACATTAAGATCGAGGTTGTGTACTACACAAAAAAATAAACTTAATCTAGAATTGTATAATATTTTTGCAAACACTATTTTTCGGTCCAAAAATATTGATATTAAACGACTTTCCATCAAAAAATTCAAACAATTATCAAAAAAGTTTTTTGAAGAGCATTGTTTCTATTCCATAAACGAATTTGTTACTTATCGGGCACAGTAGATCTAAATTATTTTAAGTTATTTTATAAATTGTTATTCTTTTGCTGACTTTAAAAATACGTTTTGTATTTGTAAATGGTCAATAAACGATATATATATATATATATATATATATATATATATATATATATATATATATATATATATATATATATATATATATATATATATATATAATAATCGTGAGTGTACAATTCGTACCATATTGCAAATTTATCGTTAATTCCAAAATAATTTTTGAAGCAGCATAGAGTAAGGTAGTAATCAAAATATAATAGAAGAAAACTATATACAATTACCATTCCTAGTTATTGTTTCACAATTTTTATTGTAATTATTGTTTCTTTATAGTATAATAATAAATAGGCATTTTTTAGAAACCAACTATACCATTCAAAAAATTCAACAAATATAGTTCTCGGTACCGCAATGAGCTGACAGCCAGAAGTAATCAGCTGAAATCGACCACAAACGCTCCATTTTATGTTCCGACTATTCCTACGCCAGCCTACGTTCCTACGGTACCCACGATAACACCTCCCATAACGACGGTAAGTCACAACCAAACATAGAAGAGACTAAACCACACGAAACTTTGTAACAACACTACAGAGAACTCATTAAATTGTTTTTTGGCGTATCACATTTTTGAATTTCCTTATTTTATAAGCACCTACATTCCAATTATATAGAAGCAGAATAATTATTTGCATCCGTTCATTTTAAAATCTTAAATGAAATTTATTAATTACTAATAACCGCAACGAAAAAGTGCCTCCCGTAATTACGAAGCTTTTAAGCAATTTAATATCTAATACCATCAGAAAATGCAAAAATGTGATTAAATAACAAAGTTTTACAAATAAAATAGTACGCCTACATAAGCAAAACTAATTTGCTGATCTTGTGTTAAGGACCACTCAAATAAGTCTGAGAACAGACTGCTTGACTACAGCTGGTATTTAATGAAATGAAGACCACCCTTTGCACTTCAACAACTTGTCACACTAATATCCGCTCCTTAAGATTTTTACAGTAGATTTAGCAGAATATTGCGCGTTATGCACATGTGCCTCTTTTACTTAGTTGTAAAAATCCAAAACCAAAACTTTCGGACAGCTAGGGAACTATTTTTTAATTAGCTTTATTTTTAAAAATCCTTACCTACAACGATTAAATAATCCACTTCAATTCCACAAGAAAGAAACAATACATGTTACGACAGAGTGGTAAACGAACCAGTGAATGCAATGCAAACGGTCGCACCAACATCATGACTTGTGTTAAAGTATGCAGAAATATCACCAATTTTGTAAATGAACAATCTTATTATATACATTACGAATGAAATTTACCTCATTTAATTCGTTATGAAATTACATACTATCTATTTTTAGAAATGTTTTTTTGAGATATTGTTTTTTATGTGACCCATCTAATAGATGGAAAAATAAATATTGATGGCATTACTGGTACAAAACATTTTCTTTGCATAATATTGTATGTACATTGGCTTGAAAAATTGATATTGAATTGGGGTAGTAGACTTAACACTTAATTGTCTTACTAAGTTGAAAACCTGTTTAACAGGGATTGGTTTACTGATACAAGCGACAGTTTGGTGGAGGCACTGAATTAATTTAAGTTTGTACTTACCTTAATTTAATGGTAAAAGCAACAAAGAAAACCCATTAATATTTTTCTTTGGGTACGTTGATACAATGTTTTAAATGATACATAAGATGCAAATGAGCATATATTTAGGTTGAATTTAATCGGGGTTAACATGGTTTTGGATTTAACAATTTGTTGCAGTGTGTCGCATATGAATTTGTAGTAGATTTTCTCTAGTTTTAGGTGTTGGATTGCTTGTTTAGTGTAAAATCAGCATTTGTATATTTATACACTTACTAATTTAGTAGTAAAGATAGGTGAAGAAGCTTTGTTTATTAGAATAACAAACTTTGGCACTGAACAAACTTACCTTTATCCCCGTATTATATCCAATATTTTAATTTTAATCAATGGGCAATGAAAAATTTGAATAATAATTAACATATTTCCTTCGAATTTGGAGAAAAATTTGTCCTACGTTAAATGTTTACTTACTTCACATTACCTGAGAATATCTCACAAATCCTCTAATTAAATAGAAATATTATTATTTTCATCTATACCTATGAATTTGATATTTTACAATGTCTGCAAAAATATCGTTACCCAAATGCCCGAGAAAAAAATATTCTTCAATTACTTATATACGAGTTGACCAAAACTAATTGTATATTAAAGCTAATTTCTTACGATTCAGCTTGCCAGTAGTTTGTTAAATGTAATGTATTTACATTAGTTCAGAGTTACCATTTGTAGTAATCAGTTTGCAGTTTGCACTTAGTTTTTAAGGTTGCGGCGTTTAACGCATTATATACATTTTGATATCCGAGATTGGGTGTACTATTTTGTTTACTTTTTTATATATTTTATGAAATAAAGATTTATTTTACTCTGTGGTTTTGTTTCCCGTTATTTTTAAGGGTTGGTAAATACACAGCACCAATATCTGCTTTTTGCACACATATTGTAGGAAACCCGGTTACAGTACATTAAAATTATTACAAATGCATGGTGTTTTTGTCCACAAATCTAACAAAAAAAGATCGGCCACATTTTATACTTTTAATCTACTAATTTCGACAGCAAATAGCATCTAATGCGGTACACATTTTTCTGCTGGCAATCTAATTCTTTCGATATTTGCTGCCCTTGATGCTATATTAGGATTGGGTAACTAATCTTTTTGACTAATTCCCAAACAAATTACACTCCAGCAACACATATTCAAAGAAGAGAAATGCAAGCAACGCGGCAAAAACCGTTTTTTTGTGTTAGATTTGTTTCTGGGCAAATCCGAAAACCCCTACGAGAAAGTCATTGCGTTAAAACGTTTCAGGTGCCCTTGCGCGAACGCAGACGACATAGAGGTGATGTGTTGGAACTAGAAGCTATAACGTTTGATGATCCGGTGAACACAATCGCTTCTGCGAGCTTGGTTAGTGAGGAACCTCGATCGGTGGATAATACCATCAAACTCACACCTTTGGTAACTAAATTGATGCACGCAAAATTTATGATTTTTCGATTTAATCATAGTTCGAAAACATATTCGCGATCATATTGATTTCCCAATGACACTTCAAAATACGCCATTTAACTCCAGGGTTAGTGTTGAAAATTTAAATATCCAAATTTCGTAACACGATTATTAACATTTTGGCATTGCATTAATAGATTTACATATCAATTTAGATGAAATGAAAAAACCGTTTAGGATAGCGGGATTCAAACGATTTAAAAAAATGGACGCCAATGAATTTACATAAAAACATCTATTATAAGCCGTTTCCATCTTAACATCATAAGATAAAGTGAAAATATATGCTATATAGTAATATTCTCTTAAATCCAGAACTAATCAAATCCATATTTAAAATCGCTATATATTTTGTGTTCAATTCAAAACATTACTAAAGCATTGAGCATTTATATTCCAGCTTTCTTTCGAGTACACTTCTAACACGAGTATTTCACTGCCTAATTGTTAACAATAAATTTTATTAATGTAATTTTAGAAACAAGCAAATCCATTTCCGTTAGGCATGATCTGCACATGTGGGACGGCATTTATCGAAAGATATTTTGAAACCTATTCAAAAGATGACGGAATTAGTGTCAAAACTTTTCTATAGTTACCGCTTTCTAGACATTTTTTCAATGAATTTTCCGGTCTATTTTGGATATTATGTATTGGAGAACTTTGCAATATCTAAAAAAAAGGAATTCATAACACAGCCCGGCTTTATGCAGACTTTAATCAAAATAAAAATAAATAAGCTCCAATTTCTTTACCCAATTATTTTTCAAATTATAATGTCTTAATTTCTGCTTAACGAATCGCCCTGGGGGGGTTAAATTGCGTATTTGCCCCACTGAAGTACTCATCAATCGCATTTAAGAAACTAAACACCATATTCGACTCTAACATTCAAAATTGACACATATTTTTTCCCACAAAGGTAAAGGACGGTACCACGGAAAAACCAGTATCCATAATAGAAAGGATTATAAATTCGATAACGTCAATATCGACTACGCCATCACCGAACGTAACGACGGCAGCGGTTACGAAAACCGCAGATGATAACGAGAGCTCGGCTATTCTGAAATTAGCCCCAAAAAAGTCAAACGTCAAAGACAAGACCAGACAAGACGACAAACAAAATAGTTCTGTTATCGAGTCGCTCACGAGCGAAAAGCCGACCACTATTATCGAGAAAATCTTATCTTCCTTGTCTGCCATCCAGACAAACGAAGTAGGTACATCCAATTTCAATACCGTAAGCAGTTCTTCCACCACTCCACTGTCTGCTGCAACAAAGTTTTCGGCCAAGTATAGGGTTAGTTCTGTAGGTATTACTACTACAACGCTTCCTGCACATTTGCCTATTAGCACTTCTGTCAATCCCCTAAACGTGTTTGACGAAATTGACGAGAACCAAGTTTTGGAAAAACGAACGATAGGCAAACTGCTAGACATACTTAACGGTCTTGCGTCTGGAAAGACTTCCCAAAAGTTGGTGGTTGTCACTCCAAAAACGGTCCACTCGGGCACGACTTTCTCTGACAAAGAACTTTCTACCTACCCGATAACCTTCGTCACCGGTGCACCGCAAAGTCAGGAACCACTGGAAGCGCTTCCCGTATCTGCTATTTCTGACGACTTTGCTTTAGTAGGTAACGACTTGCCTTCTGTAAATATCGATGCCCCCTCATCGACGGAATTCGTAAGTACTACTACCGAACCTTCCAGCTCTGCTATCTCAAGCTCAATGCTTTCTGTGTTTACTGATACGGCACCAACTTCCACAACGCCAAACTCATTCTTTACCACTCCTACGGAAATTGTCGATATCGAAAGCACGACAATTGCCCCAATTTTTACTGAACAAAGCAACTCCGCCACTACTACACAAGACGCTGTCAGCGCGAACACATCGGAGCCGGTCGAAACCACCACTTCTCAGTATAAAAGAGAAACCACAACCACACCTTCCGGTTCACACATTTATTCGATACCAGCGTCATTACCTACACCGGTAAACTTCGAAGTGAGTCCCGGTAGTGTGTTGATAATCTCAGCTAACGATGTGTCTAATCCCGCTACCTCAGATGATAATCAGTTTAATACAGTAACAATCGCCAGTAGAATAGGTAATCTCGATAACACTCTCCTAACATCAACCACAACCGATAGTTTTACCACCGCCGAAGCAACCACCGAAATGGACATATCAACGATCGCAACGGAAGGCACCACAGATGTATCGACAATAGAAATCGCAACTAGCACTACTGAAGAAATACCAATAACAGTTTCACCAACCACCTGGTTGCCCTCGACTAATAAATCGGATAGACAATTTAACAGAGCTGGTAGAATCCTCGCTAATGATGTAGGCGCTCCCGTAGGCAATAGTATCGACATTTCCACACCACCAACGACCACGTCTACAACACCCGATTATTTTGTTTTCGCAGTCCTCAATAATAACACCATCTTGAGAAAAAAACCCCCAATCATTCCTAAAGAGGTTCCGTTCGTGATCTTAGGTCTCTACCCGAACAATACTGTCGTAAGGAAATTTCCGAACGGTACCGTGGTTCCTATGGAACAAGTAATTAAGGTCAGAGGCTTTGATACCCGTCCGAATCCTCCACCATTGCCAGAAATAACCAGTAACCAAGTAACTGACCTCAATGGATTGACATCGGAAGATGATAATCGAGTCACGGTATTCACCACTGTTGTGTTGTCAACGTTGGTTTTAGGGGGGATTTGGTTGGGACAATTTAGTTTCTGGATCATTTGCAGGGATTAAATAGCTTGAGTTTTTACTCCATAAGACCTCGATCCAAAAAAGCTCCAGAACCGCAAAAGGAATAAGTTAAATGACTTTTGAAGCCATCTTTTAAATAATTGGAGACACTAAGAATCGCATAACGATCAATTGCTACGTATTTAGAAGTAGATTTTTTTATAAACTAGCTACATTATCGAAAAAACTACCTTTTTAAATAGTTAAAAGAAAAGTTTATTATAACAGCTACAAATAAAATCGAATTTTCCTGAAATGATCTAGGCTAATTGAATATTTCATCTCGAGCTTTTTTCATGATATTTCACTCGAGTTGATTCTTGCTGGGATTATACGCCGTATTGCACGCTTAATCACACTGTGTTGACCCGTTTGTGATTAATTTTATTCTATGTTTTGGTGTTGGTGCCGGTTTATGCAGAGTGTTCCTACATAAGTTACTACGTTCTACATCCTTCAATGTATTAATATTTGGGAACACCTTGTATATAGTTGCATGTTTATGTTTAAATTATAAGAGCGCTTCTTTAATCTTTAATGATCGAATACTCGAGTGAGTAAAATATAGAAATGGTGTGTACATATTTCTCTTGTAAATAGCGCTTTATAATAAGTCAAATTCTTTGCAGCTGTTGGGTTTAGTTTGAACCTTCGTAAGACTAGACCAATGCCTGCAAAAATATCAATAGCAATTTTGTGATCAAGCTGACAAACGATCCTTTTATATTTACTATCGGCAATTGAATGAAATTAAAGAAAGGTGTTTTACAATTCGTAGAAACTTTCTGACTGAATTTCTCTTCTTGACAGCTTATACTATACAGCTTACGCCATGTGTATTTAGTATAGTATTTATGTGTTCAGCCACCTTTTCTAAATCACTCACTCGTCATTTAACTAACTTAAAGCAACGATTACAACTTTACAAAAGATTGAATGTAATGGGAATAATATGACTAAGTGAGCATTTACATTATAGGCAATTTATTGTTGCGAATGTAATTTTGTTTGTTGAGTTACAATTTTTCTTCATATCTGTTGAAGCTATTTGAATTTTATTTTTGTCAACCGGTCGCCATTTCTGTATTTTATTGAATTATCAAGGCGGAAGTTACTAAACTACATCAACTCATAACATCGACTCATATTTTGATAGGGTTTAATGATCGATTGCTTACAAAAATTCAATTTTAGGTCGACAGGAATGAAATGTCACGAATGAACATGAATCCACTAGCACTCACTAGTACTCCGCGGCCAAGTACTAGTAGCCAATCCGTAAGCACAGTAATAATTAATCCTACAATTCTTCCCCCTAACACTCCGACACCGCCTATTGTCGCACCAACTTCAACTAAGGGTGAGGAAATCAGTCTTGCGGCAAGTACGACTACGACGGAAAGCACCCAAGTAACAACCGAAGTTTCTCCTGCGGTTACTAGTACCCAATCACAGACCACCAGTAGACCCACCATACCACCGACACTTTCGGAGCTTTTGAATGGAAAAACGTTAGAAGCTTTAGATAATATTATTAAAACCGATCCGAGCAGTCCCAAGAAACCAAATTACGAAACTCTTACAGTCAACAAGGTAAGAACAAGAAGTCTAGATATTTTTGATGGATCTAACGCAGTGGCGAATGATTTTTTACGAGTTGCATTTCGTAGTTTCAAAACACGAAGTTCTGCACTGAATCAGAATTTTCTATTAAATATATCACTGCACAAAGGGTGAAATGTTAGAACATTTGGCAAATATATTGAATATTCGCCACTTGCCGCTTTCAAACTTGCCTAAAAATAAATGCTTCTGCATTTTCATTACATCATTATTCTTTAACAGTACAACGAAGTATTGAACATACAAGACTTGTTAAACAAAAACAATCGAGGGAAACCAGTTAAGAAGGAAAGCAGCCAGGCAAGTCAACATGTCAACGAAACTCATAAGTTTAACTAATCGATTGACTAAGAGAGACTGACCGCTACTATGTCATATTTACCAAAAAACACTAGATTCACTTCATTTACTAAGAGTTACCGCTACTATCTTTATTTAGCGCATTTAGCATGGTGCATGTAATAATACAGAAACATTGATAGCATGAATAATTAACATTTAATGACTTTTATAGAAATTTGTCAAATATTTACACATGCCCTCCCATTCCGAAATGTACCAATTGCTAAAAACGAATTTGCAGAGATAAAGTACTATTATTTTGATGAATATTTTGTAGAGTGATACCTTAACCCAGACGTCAACTCAACGACAGATTGCCCCTTTTACATCGCCGTTAGTAACTACAGAACAATGGTTTAGTTTTCCAACAACGGAGCAAGTAAGGAATATATACATATATATATAATGTGTATATTATGTATGTATTTTAGGCGACTTCTTCAGAGCTTGCTTCCACGTTTGCTCCTACCACCAATCGCATATCAGAAACCACGATAACGACCGAAAGGATTCCAGAAGTGACCACTACTGAATCGACAACCAAATCTATCTCAACGACTACTACCACCACGCAACCCTCATCTGCAAGTACGACCGTGGAGCCGCGAATACGAGCAACGACACCTTTAGCAACAATAATACCATCTACAATATTGCCAACATTATTTTCGACCCTCTTTCCAACGTTGGTAAGGGGAACTACCAATCCACCCTTGTCTAGTACCAAAGCGTTTAGTACAACTACGGACTACGACGACAAATATGAAGTACTTAGCTTTGCTGGAACTACGGTGAGTACTAAGGAAATAACAATATCGCATTGTGACAAACTAAAAATTTTAAATTAGACGCGCTGTCAGTAATCTCTCATTTTGAAGGACGAAAAAAGGTTCACTATTCCTTTCCTAGATCGCCAATGAATGTAAATTTTTGTTATGGTAGGTTCAACCGACAACCGTAGCACCGACAATAACGTCATCGCCATTGTCACAAGGCATATCGACCACCACCCAACCCACTACTACGTCGACTGAGCCAACAACCACTACGGTACGTACTACGACCCCTAAAAAGGCTACGACAACCGCGAAAACCGAATCGTCAGCCACTGTACCCACAGATTTCGCTAAGGCTGTCAAACTCAAGGAGCTGACGGCTGAACAGAGAAAAAATTTGGAGGAAATTGCCAAGTTAGAAAAACAACAAGCCGAATTGCTCAGACAATTGAATTTCCTAACATCAGTGGTACGTTGAATTTTGATACATCGCATTACTTATGTTATTACTATATCATTAATTGAAAATACATTTTATGTTTCAGTTTGGAGGACCATCGCTTAAAATGCCTAATGCAGCTAATGCGGGAGGTTCCGGACTGGCTAATAGGGTAAATTTATACTTCATTAAAAAGATCATTCGCTGAATAATCACTCCTTAGAATGTAGTTCTCATCTATGTTAATACGATTTAAGGTCCAATTCAAATGAGGAGGGCGAACAGTGGCCACATTTGCTTGCGTGCTATGGTAACTTGTATGGTAATATGTAGGATCCCTCAGATTTAGCTGAATGTCCTCGTTATAATTTCCCTTTCAAAAGCCGTCAAATGTCAATAAACTCTCTCGAGTACAAATCCTAATTTTGTTCTTTTCTATTTGAAGCTTGACGTCTCACCAAGATAAAAAAATATTCGTTTGCTTCATGCTTTTGAAATATGCAGGTATGCTCTTCCCAGGAAAAATTAATTTAAGGAATACTGTCCTCTGGTCCAAGCCGCATCAAAATTCTGAAAGAAAAAAGAGTGGACTTGTCTTCGAAGGGTATAGTTTGTGTCGTCACCAAGGAGTTTAGCTAGACTTGCTGAACTTTTTTTATGAGATTCAATTTCACCTGCTGCCTTTCTTTACTGATTGGAATGATTGTCGATGCCAACAGTTTTTTAATGCGTCTATTTCCTCTTTGACTCTGACTTAGGTTCTAGTTTATTTTTGTAAAAAAGTGCGGAACTTGAATAAATAATAAATTTCTTATAATTCTGCAAAATATCGCTGGTATCAATGTTAGTAAATTTTCAGGTTATTAATATGGCTGTGGCACGCGACAAAACCCGATCAACAACCACACCGTCCACGAAACGGACAACGAAACGTCCAAATTCCATACAAGATCAGTTGTCTGCCGTTCAAGACTCGCCATCTGGAAACGAAACCGCAACCTTAGAGGAGATTTTCAAGCAGCTGAATCTAACAGGATTAACTTCCACAACGCCAGCGTCCACTAAAACGACACCATCCCTGGAAGAGATTTTGAAGCAGTACAATTTGACAGGAGTGTCAACTCCCGAACCACTGACTTCAACCTATGGAAAATCGGATGAAGCCATTTTGGCAACGCTTCTGAAAGAACAAGGCATCGGTCCGTCGACTCCCAAAGCTTTGGCCGATCAGATCAAAGAAGCTGTAAGGCTTGGTGCATTGTCCGCTGTCTACATCTTCATATGTAAATTTCTTTCAGGGTGCTACCACGAAAGCGTCTAAACCCAAACCCAAATCGAGACCAAGGACAACCACACAGAGACCGGGAAGATTGATGCAAGGTTTGAATTGGCTACTGGATTTGCTAGATCCGCCGACGACTAGAAGGCCGGCAACTCGCAAACCGGCATCTAGGAAGCCGAAACCTAAAACCACAACTACCACGGAAGGAGCCACCAAAGTTCCTGAAAAGGAGACCTCGGAAGAGGAACTGTTGAGTCACCAACCGACAAGAATTACACCGGTTGTGACGACAGCGCCAAATGAAATTATGACAAAGCCCGAATTAAGTCAATCTGAAATAAGGGTAAGCAGCACCACCGAGTACTAGAGTTATAAATCGGCCCTTTTCTTATAGTTAGTTAGATATGAAGGTTATCTTCGACATCAACTTTGTTAACTTAAACTTATACCCACGTCGGATAGGATGGATAGGATTGTATCTAGAAGGCTGTGACCATCATAGGAAAAATTGCAAATGAAACTGTTCTTTACTTGTCTAATGGCAAATAGCATTTAATGTAATGAATCATTAATTTTTTAGGATAACCTAGTTTTTTCAAATAGCACCTTAGTGAAAACCGGTATGAAATTTTCAAAATCCGTTAAGAAATAAGCTCATAGGAAGGAAAAAAACCAGATTAGTAAATACATTTTTATAAAAACAAAATATTACTTAGGTGGCTTTGTATTAATTGTCAAGTCGTAAGTTTAATATTAAAAATGCATTTAAAAGCAGAGTAGAAAGAAAAAAAAAACAGATTAGCATTTTTATAAAAATAAGATTCAAGGGAGAGTTTCTTCTGAGATTCAACGGAATACGGAATACGGAGATACAGTCAAAAACTAACGTAAGTATGACATATATACTTACATCATAAGCTACAAGCACTTTTACTGGAAACTCAGTAAAACAAGAGAATTGAAATATTTTTTTTTCTTTTCAAATCTGTCACTTTTTGGGATAATTAAACACAATATTTTGAAAATCTGTTAGAAAATAAAACCTCAACAATGTCGGTAGAATCTATTTGAAAGTGGGTTATTGTAAGGCAAGTTTTACATTGACACAATGAATGTCATCATTTATTTTGGAACTGGAGTTTTGTATTCATTTGAATTAAATAAGTGCGATGGATATTTACTTAATAACCAGTTTATTTGAAGATGAAACTTTCATAGAATGTTTTCAAAATGTCCTTTTTCTTGTATACGACACTCCCTGACTCTAGAGATGACATTCGCTGTGACCCTGTGTCATGTCCGGGCCAATTGACTGGACTGTGTATTGAGATTAGTCTATCCCCATAAACATCACGTAGGGGTTCCGTGACATCTCTAAATTATGGGGAGGCACGCACGGCAAGAGATAAATTCTAACGAGTCTTCAATTTCATTTCTTAAGAATTTTAAATATCGTGCACTAGTTAAGGCACCATGAAAAAAATCAGGTCCAATCATTCGCCTTCCTATAATCCTTTGATTACTTAAAGACCAGTATCTGTTGTTCTATCGCTTAAACATAGCATTAATGAGAATCGTGACTCATCAGTGAACAAAATTAAGTTAACGATATTATTATTCTCGTCATGTTTATATAACAGGCAATTACAATTCTTACAAAGTCAGCTTCATAAAGATGTCGATGAAGGTTATACTTAAATGCATGATAGACGTGCTTTTTTAAAATTCTCCTCGCAGATTCTCTTGAGATGTCTAATTCTAATGCCACTTCTCTTAGCGACGCAGCTGAATTTGAGCTGACGTATCCCACATCATTGATTTCCATTTCTTCACTTATAATAAAATTATCATGTCGATCATTTTTTCTGTGTTCCCCGTATATAAGAATCAACTTTTTCTCCAATTGTAAATTGATTATTGTTTTCCATGATGATCCAAATCGATAACAAGACAAAATCGATGATAGATGATGACAGATAAAAATGTACAAACTGTCAGAATTTTCAATCATGCCGACTTGATGATGAATAGAAGCAAAGCTACCTAAGCAATATTTTCTTTTTATAAAAATGTATTTACTTATTTTGTTTTTTCCTTCCTGTGAGCATATTTTTGGCGGATTTTGAAAATTTTTGTGTCAAAATATTGCAAAAAAAGTACCAGTTTTAAAAAATTTTTGTTCCCACTAGGGTGCTATTTAAAAAAATTAGGTTATCCTAAAAAATTAATAGCTTATTACATTAAATGCTATTTGCCATTAGACGAGTAAAAGTAAAGTAAAAAGTTTCATTTACAATTTTCTCATGATCAGGTGATCCGGTAAATCGTATTTATGATGATTACAGCCTCCTAGACTTGTTTTTCAAAATTGAAATAAAAATTAAAAAAAAAAGAAGAAAAAAACCATCCTATCCAAAAAGGCAAAAAAATATAGGTTGTGCCATTTAAAATTCGAAAATTACTGTCGTTTCCGCTCAAGCCGGAAGTGCAACCAACCTAAAGTTGGACCTTCAGCCTATATTAACCGTTCCGAATTTCAAATCGCTATCTCAAGCCGTTTAAAAGTTATAGACTTTCTTGGGTCACTGGGATTGGGTTTGACTGGATGTTGCTATTATTTGACATAAAAACAGTATCTTTTCAAACCATATAATATTATGCGCCAAATGAAATTATGACAAAGCCCGAATTAAGTCAATCGGAACTAAGGGTAAGCAGGAATACAAGAGGGTGTTACATATCGGCGCTTTTTTTACAGTTATATTTCAATGTTTTCTTCGGCATTGTCTTTGTTAACTTAAACTTATACACCGTCCTGAATAGTACTAAAATATAGCATTCGCCATTGACTGAGTAAGAGTGAGTGAGAGTGACTCGATGTTGCTCTGTTTAACATAGAACCACTATCATTCCAAACCATATAATATTATGTTGTTAAAATCAAGCCTGATCTGGGCGGATCTTAACGTTTTACGATGTTTGTATGTCTCTTATGCTGGCTAGGTCGTATATTTAGAGGGCGTTTTACCTCTCCTCTATGCGACTCACTAGATTCACACCATAGATGGTAGATGCACCATACCAATACCAATTCAGTTTTATGTACAATATTGTCTGTCTTATAGGCACTCATAAAACAGCTGGAAGCAATTCAAAGAAATCCAAAGAGCAGCGACCAGTTAGACTTTTCAAAAATTAAAAGTTTGCAAAATTTACTAGATGTCAAGGACGGAGTCGAAGTTATATCACCCGGTCAGCACGGGACTACACTCAGGGGGGTAAATACGGCATCGGGGTAAGTAAAAATAATTCAATTGACGATTGAAGCGAATGAAGCACTTTCTTCATTCCTTTGTTGATTTAAAACTTCAACGATAATATTCCAGAATTATATTCCATTTTTATAAAATTTCCGATAAGTAAAATGAAATATTTTTGGAGCAATAAATATACTGAGAAGCCAAACTTTAATTCCCAAACATATAGAACAGTTGGTCATCAGATTTTAAAACAAGAGATAAAGAATCAGAACAGTTTTCAATCACTAGAATTATAAAACAAAATTATAAAATAATATAAAAAAAATATGTAACGAAAAATCTACGCTTGCTAACCAATACTTTTTTAGGCAGTTATTTTTAATTCACTTAATTTTATAGAAACGCTGATAAAAGTAAAGTTTACGTTCACTTGAATTCAAAATATCAAATTTGGTCCCTAGCTTACTATCAAAAACAGCTAGAATATTATAATAAGTAGTTATATAACAAACTCGTGGGTTAATATTGTAAGATATGTTTTTGCGAAATTTTACCATGCATAGCGAAAATTGTGTCGGGGGCATTAGGTTTTTCTTTTTACTTTAATAATAACGCAAATAATTCGCAAAAATGTCTGAAAGAAGGCATTTTTGGTTTTTAGAAAAATTGTGAAAGAGTTGATTAATGAAAACTATAATTGCTGGTTTTATGCATAAATAAGATTTGATATCGGTGAGCCGTAACAAGTTGACAAATACGATAAAAGCTATAAATAATCGTTAGATCTATGATTTCATAAATATCGTTATCGAGTTAGTTGTTACAAATGTGTTGATAATTCAAGTGCTTTTTATTATGAAGTGGTTTGAAATTTTGATATTCTTGCAAATATAATTCATAATTATACAGTCTTAAGAGTCCTTATTATAATATCTTTTATATGATAAGAACAATATGAAAAAAACATAGGTGGACGACGCATCTTGAAAATTCTAGTACTTGGATTTTCGAGTCTGCTTTGACGAAATAAAATATTTTGGACTATGCAAGTTGCCGCTTGATTTTAATATTTACTGCGGTTTAAATTGCTTTTCTTCGTTTTCTCACTCTAAAATATGGTATCATAGAATTTTGACTGCAATTTCCTTATTCCGTATTTTAATTAGCTTACATAAATTTTTAGTATACGCGGTCGTTTAAAATTAATTGATTCTAACGTTTGATTGGAATAGTAGTAGTAAATAGCGGTAATTCTAGAAATGATATTATCTTGACATATTTGTATTAATCAGCCATGGCACGGTTGTTTAACAATAATTGCTCAATAATTGATTTAAGTGCTTGACAGGTTATATATATATATATATATATATATATATATATATATATATATATATATATATATATATATATATATATATATATATATATATATATATATATATATATATATATATATATATATATATATATATATATATATATATATATATATATATATATATATATATATATATATATATATATATATATATATATATATATATATATATATATATTCTCACGTATTGATTCACGGATGGAAAAATGTGATAACACTATATTCCGGGATATCATCCGTTCGCTCGTTGAACTCCGACTGGAATCCTGCATCCGACTGGAATCCTGCAAATCTTGCATCCGACTGGAATCCTGCAGACGTTTCGCCAAAATCTCACTTGGCATCTTCAATGCTCGCGCTCCGAAAACACTTCGAACACTGGGAGGTTATCGGCGGTGCGTGCGGTATTTATACTCTGCGCCGGAGATGGTAACGGTGCTGCTTGTGCGTGGGGGGAGGTGGCTCCGCCCCCTGAATTGTCGCGTTGTTGATTTCGCCCGATCGTAGTTGCGATGTCCCCGTTGGCTGCTGCGCATCGCTCTGCTGTTTGATTATCGTTCTCCACGTGTTGGATAAATGCAGAGCGTCGTCTCTCGTATTGAGGTGTCCGGACTTTTCTATTTCGATGGCCTCTCGTATAATCCTAGTCCTAAAATCAGGAATATTAGCTATTTGTTTGCAAGTGCCGAAATCAATTTTATGGCCTGTCTGATGTTGGTGCTGAAACAAAGCAGATGTTGTTTGTTTGTTTCTTATGGCTAAACGATGTTCCTCGAGCCTGGCTGAAATCCTTCTGTTGGTCTGTCCCACATACGTCAGGCTGCACGATCCGCATGCTACACTGTATACTCCTTGGTTTTCCAGAGTAATTTTTTGTTTTGGGTTTCTTAGTATTGCTCCGATGGTATGATCAGGTTTGTATGCCGTTGATATGTCGTGTTTCCGTAATATTCGGCCGATTTTGTCAGTAACCCCCTTGATGTATGGCAGGACAGCGATCGATCTTCGTTGGGTCTCGTCCTGCACTCTCTGCTGCGGCTGTTGTTTTTTACTGATTGCCTTGCTGATGGTGCGCCTTTGGTATCCGTTTTGTTGAAGACAGGTACTAATTTTCTTCAGTTCTTTATCTCTGTTCCTCTCGTTTGTGAGCCTGAAGGACCGAGCAATTAATGTATTTGCCACTGCCTGTATCTGTGATGGATGGTGATGAGATTTAGCGTTCAGATATCTATTAGTGTGTGTTGGTTTTCTATAGACAGTGTGTTCCAAGTGTCCATCTTCGGTCCTTGTGATGTGCACATCTAAAAAGGGCAGACTGTTATCCTCTTCAAGTTCTATTGTAAATTGAATCCTTGGGTGAATGGAATTCAGATGATCTAGGAATTTCAAAAGCTCCTCCTTGCCAAAAGGCCATACAACAAATACGTCATCAACGTATCTTGTCCATAGTTTTGGCTTCAGATTTGCCTTCTCTATTGCTTTCTTTTCGAAGTAAATCATGAAGAGGTTGGCAATCACAGGTGAGAGAGATGATCCCATTGCTGCTCCATCTATTTGTCTGTAAATTTTCCCGTTGTGCATAAAGTAAGCGTTTTTCAGGCAATGTCTTGACAGATCCATTATGTATGGCGGAAGATCTTCGTTTTCTTCTATAAGCAAGAGTGCCTCTTCTACTGGAATACTCGGGTAGAGGGATTTGACATCGAAACTTGCCATAATGTCGTCCTTGTCCATAAGGACGGGGTTCCCCTGCGTCCAATCGTAAGCGCCTTTAACTCACCATTATGCAAGCTGGAAAAACATCTGGCCAGTGCACTTCAGCCTATAGTGGAAAAGGCAGATTCCTATGTTAAAAACTCAGAACATTTCACTCAGATTTTAGGTTCTCTCAGGATGAGCATTGAAGATGCCAAGTGAGATTTTGGCGAAACGTCTGCAGGATTCCAGTCGGATGCAGGATTTGCAGGATTCCAGTCGGATGCAGGATTCCAGTCGGAGTTCAACGAGCGAACGGATGATATCCCGGAGTATAGTGTCATCACATTTTTCCATCCGTGAATCAATACGTGAGAATATATATATATATATATATATATATTTATATATATATATATATATATATATATATATATATATATATATATATATATATATATATATATATATATATATATATATATATATATATATATATATATATATATATATATATATATATATATATATATATATATATATATATATATATATATATATATATATATATATATATATATATATATATATATATATATATATATATATATATATATATATATAAAGTTTCTGGATATTTTGGGTTCGTTAGTTGAATTCCAACTGGAATTTCGCAAATATTTCGAGTGTCGTTTTTATTTGTCATTTTCAATACTTTACGCTATGAAACAGTTTAAAAATTGTGATAAGAATATTATTCATAGATAACAAAATGATTCATCAAAACTACGTAATTTGCCACACTTGAATTTATTTTCTTAAGTAAACTTTTAAAACTCTGGAATCTGTCTTCACATAATTGAGTAATTACTTCTAAAAAATGGCGTTCAATGGCTAACTAATAAAAATATGTCAAGAGAATAAGGAATTATGGCAATTATTTCGAAAGTCGCACGATTCAGGTATAGCACTGTTGTGCATCACGTCAAATTTAATTTTGTTTTAAATTTGTACTAATAATATTTGAAAAACATTTTTTTCGCAAATTTGTGTCTTATGTTAAAATTATTAATTTTAAATGACTCTATTATGTTATGGAATAAATTTAACTCTGTACTTCTAATAAGAGGCATTTTCGCAAACTGCAACTAAAATTATAGCTTTCTGATGATATTTTTCAAAATAATTAATACTTCGAAAAGCGCCCTATATTGGTATTGAGAAGTTTTAAGCAAAAATAATAAAAAGAAAGCAGTGATTCGAAAAATGAAAATAAGTATATTCCCATATGTTACTGCTAGAAGCCGTGACTATAAAAATATTTTCATTTTATTTAAGGTCGACAGAGCACAACAGAAAATCAAAATCAGACTTTAAAAAAAAATCAATGCCATGGAAAGTCTTCGTGAAAAGTAAAATTTCAATAATTTTATAATTTGACAATAATTTGTCAAAAAAAATAATTTTACAAAATAATGAAAAACATAACATATTTTACGGAAGGAGTGACAATTTTGTTTTATTTGTTTTAAACTTTAGAACATGTTAATTTACTCTGTTGTAACCTTCTGTTGCAAATTTCTTGTGCCAACAAGACGTACGGCTAAGAGATAGGAAAAAGTTTTTAAGCCAAATTGCAAATTTCTAAACTAAAAGTGGTATCAGTTGTACAGGGAGAATTAAAAATACTTGTTAAATCTCATATGTGAAAAAAAATCTAATCAAAAATTAATAATAAATTTAGAAAAAAAATGCATATTTATTATTATCTGTAGAAAACCCAAAGAAGTGAAGCGTGTGCCGGTTAAATCGACCACAGTAGTGCCATTTAGCGTGAGCAACAAAATCGAGGATGAGGAATCGCTTCCAACAAGTACCGTAAGCTCCACAGCAATTCCACCGGTAAGACTGAACCCCGTAGTCGGGATCGATGACGATCCATCGGATCCATTTATCAGAAGCAATTTAATAACGGCCGCCGTCGGCGTGACCAGGGCGATATCGAATTTCTTCGGAACTGCCTTTCAGGTAAGCAAACGAAAATCAATCCACCATTTGAGTTAATACTTCGTTTCGAATTAGCAAAAATTATCTTCGCGAGTGCCTGCATTGGCCCGATAACGTAATTTTTCAGGATGCAGCGGTTCAAGTAAGGCACATGATTTCAAGTGGAACAAACGCGCTTTCAAATATCTCCGGCGGCTCTAATATACCGTCAGTCGCAAGCGCTAGCGCCGCTCTTAACCCGAGTGGTTAGCAATCGATCAGTAAATTTTTGTCCCTATTAATCTTCAGCACAGCACGGTAAAATATGTAGCTTCTATTTGTTTGCGACAAGCTCAGCTTCTTCCTTCTCTGAAAGATTCATTTCTTTAATCCATTTTCCTATGTTCAACCGAAAAATCTGGAGAGACAGATCTCGGCGTCTATTATTCTTTCTATCTTTGCTGTTAACGATCATCAAGCTTATCAAAATAATTTACTAACATATTAAAGCGAAGCGGAAGTGGTGTTGAATTGCAGTGGAACACATATTTAGGATTGTATTTTTATATTTTACACTTCAAGTTTAGCCGAAATATAAACAGATAAATAAATAGCTTCGAAATTTGTCTATATAGTCAATCAGTTGGTAGCTTTATTGAACAATATTCTTCTGCATGCAATAAAACATTGTTTTATTTGGACTGAAATGACAGAGATTTCTATCTGGTGTCCGGGAAAATATGGAAGATCTACATGGAGTACAAAAACAATAATATGACATGTTCGTATAATTATTTTGCTCAGAAATGATCCTCTACGGTCGCTGCTAGATTTTTAAACTGAACAAAGAAACCAACATAAGCTCACGACAAATAAATAACTCGTATGTTCAATTTAATATAATTTATTATTTATTACGCATTCCAATGAAAAATTCTTCAATTTCAAAAACATTATTTATTAAAAATGAAACATTTTTTTTGTTAACAAAAATTAAAGCCTTCGTGGCCCAAAGTCGTGAGCCACTTCGGACATTTCCGATAAGGTTCTAGAGCGATCGGAATGACGACTGACAGTTCACAGGTCAGTGAATGAACGGATTCGTTATATTATGCAACACGTTGATAAACTACTTTATTGCACACTCGTTCTGCTGCCCTCCACCCGTGCCTAATGAAACCCTTGACTAAAATGGCGTTTATCAGACTTGTTGCATACTATTACTATTTTAAGTCTTTATCAAATATTATTCGTTTAATCCATCCCTGGTAAACTAAATAAACTAAATATGTATCAAGGATACCATATGTTAAATATTTACACTATATTAATCGTTGTTCAAGAACAAATGATTTCCAGCGGTGTCCCTTACCATTTTTAGGTGTTTCGACAGATTTTCTACATTTTCTAGCACACCTAGTATTTTTATTTAACTTATACATTTTTTGATCTTACAGTTTGCTATATGTAGCTGTTTCTCTCCCAGGCTAATTTTAAGTTGCGAATTAATTAGTAATTGAACGATGGTGTTAAACTTGATTTTATATATCACTTTGTTACTTCTAGGGAGCGGCTAGAGGATTTCAAAATCTCTTAGGAGCCGGATCCTCTATGGCAACCCGTACGTCAGGAGCTAGTTTCGGTTAAATACCGGGGTGACATTTTGTATAGCTAATCACAATATTTTAAAGTATATAGATATGAAGAAATAAAGAATTGCTACGACAAGAAACATTAATTCGAAATCGAATGCCTTTTTTGATCGGCTAAAAGAACTGTGAGTGAAACTCCCCACACCGCACCGTAGTTATTCTCGATTTCTTTGGTGTTTGACTTGGTAACATAAATTATGGTGCCATGTCGAACGGATTGTTGATAGTATTAGTTAACGACTAATTGTGATAAATATTCTTTCCAATACGTGCTCTATTGTTATAAATGTTCTTCGTCAACTGCATATTGATGCAGTTTTGTCGTATGCTGAATGATTGTATAAAAAATTAAGAGGTGAAAATAAGAGGTATAAATTATTGTTCTATGTATAAAAAGTTTATCTATGTAGATTGTAAATTCTTTACGATTGCTCCGCAATTTAAATTATTGTAATCGAAATTTTCGGTGACTTTTATAAAATAAATTTGCTGTAGAAATGTAAATAATTAATGAAAAAGAATGAAATTGCATTTTTATTACCCTATTTATCGATAGCGGATTGTCGCCATTCCTATCGCATCATCCAAAAACAAGTAAGGCGGGAACCAAAATTGGTAAAATATTTTGCAGAGTCACCTTATTATAACTTGATATTATTATATTATTATAACTTGAAAAAATGTACAGATCTTGGCGAAACCTCTGCAAGATTCCAATCAGAATTTTTCATAACATTTTTCTATCCGTGAATCACTACGTGAAAACATCTCATTCATAGTTTACTTTGATCGATAAACACATCATTACAGTTACGGGAGTTTATTAAAACATCTATTTTAAAATTACATCTTTTTTGCTTCAGTTTCCTGTCTTTGCTAGCAGGTAACTTGATTAGAAAAAATGAAATGTTTTCATCGACACGTATGCACCATGGTGTTGGTTAAGATTGTTTTAAAAAAATTTCGAATCTTTTTTTTTTCACTAATAAACTGGTGCGCTCACGAAAGAATTAAGAAACTTTTAGATTTGTTGTTCAGACATATATAACATACAGTTCTAGGTGTCTGACAATTACTTCGATCGTTGCATTTGACTGGGACTCATGGGAACACCCCTGCAAATAGATTTATTCGTTGAGTAGGATTGCACATTTATTTAACGCTCATTGCCAATATTTTCAATTCAACTCACGACTTGTTTTGAAATATGGATATAATATATATTGCATGACATAAGGTCCTGGCACCCAAGCCAGATTTTCATCATAATTTTGATGACGGTTTTTCCACTTGCTTTACCAATCACAATTCTATTTTACTGATTCTGTAATTTTTGGAATTTATCTATTAAATTTGTACAAAAGAGGAAGTAATCTTATAATAATTTTTTATAACTAACTCCTTATAATATTTTCTATATTTTTCACTTGCAAAAAAAGCAATCCGCTACATAAATAGTATAAATTTGATTGACGGCGCATTCTTGAATATAATCGATCCAGACGTTAAATAAAATTAACAGCAGTAAATCGAATATTACACAATTAATCGCCGTTTTATTATAGATTAGATAGAATTATGCGGATCAGTCTGCCCACATCAAAGATCGATGAAACAGGTTGGCAATAAACAATATGCTAATAAGAAATGTCTCGCTTCAAACTGAAAATTCCCGGACGGGAAAGGAACAGGATCTAGTGTATAATTAATAGAGATCATAGGCGAATAGGCAAAGTCCGTTTCAGCAATTTAAATGACACCCTTATCCGTAAAACGAAACAAATAAATAATTATAATAATATTAATAATAATAATAATAATAATAATAATAATAGTAATAACGTTATGAATGCAAAATAGCAAATGGCAAACAAGAAATATGTAAATAAAATATAAGATAATAAAATATAACTCATGAACAAAAATATACAATCAAACAATAAAAGAATGAAATTAGCAAATACAAAATAACATTTTTATAATATAGTTTCTATGAAGTATAAGCAGATGGAATTTAAATATTGCATTGCAAACAAGTGGCAAAATGAATAATAATAATAATAATAATAATAATAATAATAATAATAATCATAAAGGTTTTTATTTGAATTATATAAAATATAACAATAACAAGAAAAAATTTTGGCAAAAAGGCGAGATTCAGTCTACTAAAGATTACTATACTGTATACTATCTAACCCGATAAAAGAGAGAAAAAAAAGTACGTAAATTTCCATTTTATAAGTTGTAACTTAAACAAAAAAAAATGATTGGCGTAATTATTATAGTAACGATTTTGAATACTTTTTTTTAAGGGTGGACACCCTTTATAGGCACCAGGTACTTGTAATGCAATGCTCTATCGTCCCTTTTATTTCCTGTTGCATTCTAATCCACTGTATTCGTTTTTTCTCTGTCTTTGTTCTCTTTCCTTAGTTTCTAGAATCAATTTAATGATTCATCACCTTGTCCTCTTTCATGTATATCCGTTCCATCAAATCTATTGCTGTATCCTGCTATAACCTGCAGTGCCACAGTCGAGACTGTTTTGAAAGCAGCAGTCACTCGTATTTTCTATTAGAAGGCCCCCCTATATTTGGCATAAGTCGTGCCAGTTTGTCAAGTCTATCCTCAGCCTTTGGAGTCACGCTTCTAACATCTTCCCCAAAATTAGCATGCTTGTCAAAATAGACTCCCAGATATTTAATCCTCCATTTTGGTTTTATATCTAGGCCAAGTACTTTAAATTTTATGCCTACGGTGTTTCTTTACTGTGTGATGATCAGGGGTTCCGTTTTTTCTGGTGCTAGGTTCTTTCGTACATCCACTTATTTATCTTTTGCAGGTTCTGATTTGTATTATGTATTAGAATGTTCTTATCCACAGACGATACCAGCAGCTATATTTTAATTATTTAATTTTAATTGCTTCCTGTTTAGTTACCTCTATGTGTCTGTCCTTGAGATATTCCTCAATAATAAATTTCAGTTAGCTGAGTTAAAAGCATTAGGGTTTCGCTATTTTTCATTCCAGCCTTGGCGCTCTTCCTATGGGTAGGTTTTTTAAACCTTTTATTGCCTACCTATTCATCACCCCATACATCCCGATCTAGCTCTATACACAAGTTATCGCAGTGATCTTTCTTGGACTTTCTTTTCGGTCTTTGGAGATCCTTTCTTCCTTCCTGATGTTCTTGTTTAGCGTTTTCTTTCCTCACTTCTGTAGTTATATTATCTCTCAATATTCTTCTGAGAAGTTTTCTAGTACTTATGCAGTACTTCCTTTTTTCGGATATTTCTTCGTTCCACCACTTTTATTCCAGCTTGCCTTCGTTTTCGTATACATCCTTCAATATTTCTGTACAAAACCTGTGCGAAGTTTTTCCCCCCTCCGGCATGTTATCCAATCTTAATTCCAGGTTAACGTTAAAGATTTCGTCAGCTACTTTTTTTATTTCTCCCGAGCAGGTACTTTCCCTATTTTTATCTCATAGTATATATGCTTATGGTCAGTTGTGTTTTCTTCCTCCAGTACCTTCCAGTTTACAATACTGCTTCTTATGTTCTGCGTAGAGATCGTTACATCTGTATAAGATTGCGTACTTCCCCTCACGAAGGGGTTTTCATTTGTCTATGAACTGCAAAATTACCAGCTACCATTAACTCTGTCCAATATTAACCCCTTTGGCCCCTAGTTGGGGAGCCCCACTGTTGTGATTGTGTATTTAATGTGCCGGCAATTATACTTTAATTCTTTCCTATTTGTAATTTGTTAAGAATTCGTCTACCTCTCTCGCATACTCTTCCACGCCAATATTTGTAGAGAGGTAGCAGCAGTATAGTCTGCAACTTCCAAAGTCAATACACACATATCCTTCCCCAGTAATAAATTTTGTAACCGTTACCTTCTTATATAGAAATAATATTCCCACATCCCCACTTTCATATTTTATCCATTTTATTTCTTTGATTGTGGCTTTATTCGACTCACTTACGATAATTAAATCCAATTTTCCCTCGCTGTTGCATACGCCAAGTCGTGTGCTGCCCTTCCCGTCGTAGGTTTGTTTGTAAGATTTCAAGGGGGAAAGCTTCTTAGTTTGCTCCTACCTGTACCCACCGATTGTATTATTTGTCTTCTCAAATTTTCTACCCGTCCTTAAGGACACTTGATTTAGTCTGCCCTGTGTACTTCTATTCCACATTTTGTGCATCGTGCAGTATTTGAAAAATCTTTGCTCCTGTGTGCTTTTTTCCCACATTTAAGGCAGTCCTCACTGCGGTCTATTTGTTCCTTGCATTCATAGATTTTATGCCCGTATTTCAGGCATTCAAAATATCTTATTACATGAACTTTTTCTCCGATCTTACAAAGTGTCCAGCCTAATTAAACTTCTCGCACTTATGAGATATTTTGCCTGCCCTTTTGGAACCTCGACTATTGCTGTCATCATACTTTCCTCTTTGCATGGTCCATACCCATTATATGTATTATCGTTGTTCCCATCTTTCTCGTTGTGACCTGTTACTTTAGTTTATTTCCTTTAATTTTGCCATTTGCTCTCCTCCTATATTTAGCAAGATTTCACCCTTTTCGGGTTTCCTAATTTTGTTGATCTTAACCCCTATTTTGCTGATGTTCACTTCCTCTATTAGCGTCTTTATGATTTATGAATATAATGTAACCCTTCCTTTCTTCATTCTGTCTTTAACGTTCATACACATTCTTCTTGTTTCATTTTTCGCTTCTTCGGTTCAGATGAACCCATTTCTTGGGCTATCCACTTTATTTGAACTCCATCCCTTGAGAAAATAAATTCGCATATTTTCCTAACGTAGGTTCCTTTTAAGCACTCTCCTATTGATAGTTTCAGGGGAGTGCAAAATAATCATTTCCTTAAGTTTTTTGATCATTATGTATACTGCTTAAATGTCATTAACGCCAGCCTTATTTATTTCCATAGGGAGTAGGTATATAGCGCTGGTGTAGCGATTTGCTTTGCTATCTCTATTTCTGTAGTCTTGATGGTTATTTTCTTCATATTCGGTTTGAATGTCTATTTCATCCACTTGTACTGATACCGACTTCTTTTCTATGGTCTTCGAGGTCTTACTCTCTTTTCCTGATTGTCTATTTCATTTCATACCTTGTTTTTTTTAACCAGTACTTTGATTTCTGTTATCGTTTTTGTGCTTGTTTCCGTCGTATGTGATAGCTCTAAAATTGTAAACGTTAATCTTTCATTTCCCTTCTTAGCACATTCAATTCGATTTCTCCGCTATCTTCCCGTTTGTCTCTTTGCTGTTTTTTGAACATTGTTCTCATTAAGTCCATTTCTTTGTTCTAGAGACACGTCGTCTTCTTGTTCGTTATTTTGTCTCAGCCATGTTTGTAGAGCTTGTGGAGGTTATTAACCCTGATCCTAATGTTTTATGGTTTTTTCCAGAATTTTCTCGATGCTGTGTGACTGATCCTCCCCATAATCCATAGGACCAGCGCCGATCACCAGGGCTTCCACCTGAACGGAGATTGGTGCTTAGCAGGGGTATTTTTCCTTTTGTTTTGTCATACATGTTTTTCTTTCTAATGGTTCCAAGGTCGTAGCCAAGTCGTCGTCGAGGTTCAGTCTTATGGGAGTAAGGATAGAAAGAATATTGCTAGCCCTCGATTAACCTAACAGCGTCGGAATGGGATCTTGTCAAGGATATAGGGAGTGGAAAGTGAGTTCCACTTCTGGATTAAGGGGGAGCTCCAGCTAGAGTACCTCGTGTCTGCGAGCCCCTGACAATACATAATACTAGATCGAAATTTATATTTTTATTTTAATAATTTATAATAAAATAATTTCTCAATTAAATGAGATAATCAATATCAAGTTTGAGAAATGAACTAAAAAATTTGATTATACAAAAAGTGGTCATCGTTTTTCCTTCTACATTTATGAACGCACTTTTATATTTCAGAAAATTCACTCAAAATGTATGTTAGAGCAGCAATCTTGTGATGGGTATAAACAATTATTACTTACTACTTACTAAACTATCATTAATTATACCAATATGTATATGCTTTTGTCATTTCGATGACTTCGGGCAAATGTGAACAGCCGAAATAATATTTGTATTAACACATTACTATTTAACATAAAATTCCACAAAATACTCAATATGAAGACACATTTTCATTCACATCAAATTGAACAATTCAAATAGCAATGAGATAGATTTCAGCTTAATATCTCATTGGGATTATCAATGGCAATGTAAGTTTAGAGCTTCACACTGTCTGACTTGAAAGTATTAAACAATTTTAAAACGCAAAGCTTTTAATTTAGAACTCAGATTTTCTCCAGCGGTAGTTTTGACTTCTAAAATCAACATTGTGGTTTTGAAGTTGAACATCATGTATTCATTTTTACAAACATTTTTAAAAATATATATTATTAAGGTTGATACGTTTCCAAACACACACACAAAGTTGGATCTTCAGGTACGTAGGAAGAATTTGTTAAAATTAAATAATAATTTTACGCTTTCCTATAATCCAAAGAAAAAATGACTTGAAACTTAAAAAAATATTACATAGGTGTGTCCCGCTTAATTCAAACTCACAAAATGAACAATGGAAATTGCAATTTGCATTTTTTGCAAGTTTCTGAACACGATCTCAAATGATTTAGTAATTTTTGTTCAAAAAAAGTAAGAAAATCGCACAAAATTTTTTTTTCGAAATCGCTATATATTGAATATATTTGTATCTATCTATCAAAGTGAGAGAGAAAATAAGAAAAATCAATGCGTCCTTATTTTTAAAGTTAAAACAAAAAGAAAAAGTGAAATGAAAATGTTGCTAATTGTAGATAACACATGGCTTTTATTACGGATAAGGGATAACGTTAGAAATAAACGACTCCTAAGGGGGCGTAGGTACCCCAATACTATATCATTTTTCCAAACATACCTAAGGGATACCATCAGCATTGCTGCCGTATCCGTTGCAAAACTGCAAAAGCAAAGACGTGACCATTTTTTATTATATCACCGCACGGCAGAGCTTATTAAATATCGCATAATTTCGTCTTTCACTTGTTTCTGAATGCGAAACCAGCAAAGCAACTCAGTAAAACAGACGTGGTGCGCTTCGGAAAAGTAGGCCGCGCAACCATAGAAAACAACCGCTTACATTAAGTCGCTGTCGTCCGCAGAGCGTGGAGTGAGTGCGCTCCCGCGCAGTCAAACTTTGTTTTCTTGAATGCCAATTTGAATAATAATTTGCGATTAGATGAAAAATCTGATAAAAACTAGTACGTGATATTTGTCGTAGTTTTTTCGGTTGTTCCGCGTGCTATTTCGACGAAATATGGTACTGATCTCAAGGACTACGTCAAGCGAAACGGTAAGAATATTAAGCAAGTGCGGTGCGTCGATGGTATTTCGCAGGTTTGCGCTGATGCTTGAACAACCAGTTAATGATTACTCGAGAGCATATTAAATTTCTAATTCTAAATTACACGATTGTATGGATGATTTCAGTGGAATTGAAAAATATTATATATTTCATTCTTTTCTCAACGTATGCTTAGTTACTTTCGTATTACACTATATTTCTGATCACAAGCTTTTAATTAAAACTGTAAAATATTTTATGTGCTCACACAAAATGTCGATTTCTAACTTTTGATTTTCTTATCGACACTATATTAAATGTTCATGCTTGTTTTAATTCATGAAAATTTTTCAAAATGTTTGTTTTTAATCAGTAGATACCCGGACAAATTGCAACCGTTTTAGACTGTTACATTAAAATTGCGCATTAACCATGTTATATTAATCGAGCAAAATTTACAATAAATTGGGAATTATAACAATTTCGCATAGGATACTCCTGATATCGTTATCAGTTTTCTTTGAAAACCAACTATACTTTTGATTGGATATCGTGCGGTGCAAACATTCGGCTTATTGGATCACATATTAAAAGTTCCGATTTTGATTTAAGCATATTTTACATTTTCCAAAAAATGAGTATGCTGATTTTTCTGTTACTTTTACAAATTAACTTTAATTAAATAATATATTCAGAAGAAATAAACGTTATTGTATGCGACTCGGCCTTTGCATTACAAACAACTCTATCGGTTTTCTGTGTGAATTTTCGAGAAAATGAAAATTTTAATTAGATTATGTTTTCTACTTACCTATTTATTGAAATACAGTCGATTTGGTAGAAGTACATTTTGGCGAATGTTTCGGTCTTACTTCAGATTTAGTTAGTTAAGCAATTGATAAATTATCGTTGCAAAATCTAGAAGTTACATACATCCTTCCAAAAATTAATTAATTCGTCGGTGGTCGACCAACCTTCAATTTTAATATATGACAATAGCATAACATTTTTTTTAACTTTATCTACTGCTTGCTGCGAATTTATTGATTTTAGAATTCCAAATTTGTAATTTTGGATTGAATATTAAGTTAAAATAATAATAGTTATTATATTGTATTGATTTTGAAAATTTAAAAACAGTGTCAATTTCTTAAAATTATTTTATACTAGTCCTTTGTCCACTGTATCCCATATAATTTAAAAAAAAATAAATAAAACAAATACATTTCTAAATCGTCGAGTTGTTGCAAACAAAACGAAATAACCCGACATGAATTTAAGGATGAATTGTAGTTATTATAATGTCCCGTCTAATAAGATAAAAATTTTGTGTTACTTTAACCCACTATTCTACGTCAATTTTTTAAACGTCAGATATTTTAATTCATAAAGAATCATGTCCAAATAACAAAAGTCTCATAAAATTTCATTTCAAAATGTGATATAGAAATCAATATAGTAATCGGAAAAAAATATATTTCAAACATAAATTGACGAATTTCTTGTATTTTCGACCTGTCTTTAATGAAATAGCCTCAAATTACTTTAACGCCGATTATTATTCACTGGAAGAAGCAGAAAACCAAAAAACGTCATCAACAAACATTTCATTTCTTTCAGTTAAAATTACTCGTTATTTGTATTCCATGCCCATAGCAACCGATTTGTATTGATTTTCCAATTAAGAGTGAACCGCGGTTTCTCAAATATGACTCACCTCAATAGTTAAAATTCTTATTTCATATATTGAAAGTTCAGTTTTCCCATTAGGGGAAATACACTATATAGATGCTGTATTTGGTATTTGTAAGATTATTCACCAGTGTTCTGTCATACTCAGTTGGCTTCTTAAATAAATAAATTAAATGGTGGAAGGAAGAACATATTTTGCATATGTACTTGAAGTAATGTGAATTGAAGCAAATGTATATGTAAATTAGGCTGCAATATCAAACGGGTCTCAGACATTTGGTAAGTCATTTAAATTATCATGACAAGTAACAAAATTAAAGTAACAAAGTGCCAAAAGGTAAAAATATTATCCAAATAACAATAAATTTAGATGCCCAATTTCGGCAATCTCACTCACTCACTCACCTAACTAAATTAATGACTAGTTTTGGTTGGTTTAATGATCGCTTGAATACAAAAAGAAATCTAGAAAAAAAAAAACTAACCAAAAATTTTGGTACAAGAATTATGTTGCAATATGTCAAGGTTTTCCTTATGGTTTTTGGAGCGACTTTCATTTTTGTATATTTTTTTTACTTTTAAGCAGGTTTACTCTTAAGGGGTGCCCAGATTTAAATTAATGAAAAATACCATTGAAATAGTGAACGTCTTAAATGATTTTGTTATTTTTTCCAAATATTGTAAATTGAAATATTATTGCAGATCGTTCTAATTCTAATTCTAAAATTCCAAGTAACAAAATGCAACTCCTCTTAACTATGTGTTATATTGTTACTTGTTCCTGATTCTCTACTTATAGCAAGGGAAAGCGTAAATACCGTGCTACAAATTAAAGCTTAAGGCCCTCACAGACACTGACTGTGCCTGTCACATATACGTGCTGTTTTTAGCACAGTTTTTTCTACACACGAAGGCAAATGCAATTTAGTTTCTTCCATCGTGAAAATGGCTTCCCTCAACACAGTTTTGTCTTGTACTTTGCTTGCTTGTACAATAAGGAAGAAGAACAAAATCGGTTAGATAATTGAACCAATATACCAAAAATTGAAGAAATAATTATGCTGAGGCGATCAATTTCATGTGATTAACTGCAACTCTAAGATTTCTTGCTATTGGTAAAGTTTCTAAAATAATATCATCTGAGACAGATAGTACACGAGACATGGTACCGCAATATTTCAACAATTTTATTGTTGTTGGTTATCGTTATCTTGTGGATTGCAGGTTGACCATAAAGAAGATAAGCTTTGATTATATCGAGCTAGTACATGATGAATAGAACTGAACACGCACAGACATGCTCAGATCTGTTGATTTGTGCAACCAAATTTCAAACAGGTTTTGATTTCTCTCAGGCCCGCTACTCCGTTTCTAAAACGTAGTGATATCCTAGTTATTCCAAATTTAGCGACAGGTTAGTGGCAATGGCCTCTAACGTTTTCCAGAAAACCACACCCTTACTTAGACACAAAACATTGAAACAATATAAAAACCCAAATTTTTAGTGTTACAATTTATTGATAAATTCATGTCAAAATTACGAGCTTGATAGATTAAAGTGAAATGAATTGGTAGCAAACAAGGTCGCGTGCTGAAAGTTCAATTGATCTAATATTAACAATTTTTTTTTGTCTAAAAAACCTTTTTACATCCGAAACAATAGGAAACAAAACTAGTTGTCCTTTTTCAGCGAGGCAGATAAAATCTCGCTCGGCTGTCCGAACGATTGTTGTTGCGTGCGTTATTTTGGAAAAACCGACCGGCCTTGATAAACTTAACAATTATTTCTGTGGCCATTTGCCCAATGGAGACCGCACAAACAACAAGAGCGAATTACATAAAAATTACCAACGTGTAATGGTTTGACAAAGCCGTTTTCCACGTTCAAAAAATATTAATTAAACATTTAAAATGTGCCGTTGTCTTATCTCACTTGCAGGTGTTTTGATTATCTACCACATTTTAAAAAAAAAGAAATTGGAGTACATTTTCCATGTAAATTCGCTGTTTCAGATCTTGAAACCTGTTTTACATTATATGGATTATATGCACTCGAAAATTGTTTACTCATTACCAAACATCTGCCAAATTTCGTGTAGACTCTTCATGTATATCCTTGAATCCATTGACCAGGGATTTCCAAACCACTCGTCCCTAATGACATGTGGCTCGGTCATAGGTATTTGATAATTCAAAATGCATTGGCCCAAATATATTATTGCAACATTAAGGTGACCACAAGCCAATCACCAGACATTTTCCGCTCTATAGGTGTTCCAAAAGAAATCCTAAAAACTTAAGATACCTTGTTAAAAATAAATGGTAGTTTGATATATAAACGGTCGGTCAGAAGTGATCGGGGAGATAACGCGCTTCAAATATGGCGGTAAAATAATATTTTTATTTTTTACCATATAAAAGAAAATAAATAGAACAATCCAATATTATGAAAGTATTACTATTATAAAACCACACTTTCTGAATATATGTTCAATTTTTTTTTAATAAGTCCAATAAGTTCAATAATAAGAGTTTTACTTGAATACTAACTGTGTGACAGCACCCAATTATAATCGTAGTATTATAATATTTTATTCTATCTATTTTCGTTTTTTAAGATAAAAACTAGAAACATTATTTTTTGCTCATATTTGTTTTGAAACACCTGGTATATACATATTTTAGCCAACAATATTTTGAGCATTTTTTATTGAGCTACCGTTTTTTTTATCAATTTTTATTTGTCCATTAACCGCCAAATAAACAAAGGTTATTGTAGTCCATATAAAAAAAAACATGTTCCTGAAAGTTTATCATCTTTATCGTGTTACTGAAAATGAAACTCATTTCAAACCAAAATTGTGACTAACAAAGCGACCCTAATTGATTTAGATTGATTAAATATATTGTCAAGTGAAGTGTATATTATATGCGAAATATTACCACATAAAACGTCGCTTTGAGGTAAAATATATTAGATAGCGTATGTTGTATCTTTCATGCGAGAAATGCAAAAGCTAACGAATTTATGCGCCTTATAGCCGATCGAAAGTGTTTCGGATCAACAAATTCTCTTTTCAATTCGTTGGCGTTGTATAACTGAAAAAAATTAAGACAGTTACAAAACACGTCGCCAGTGCGTCACTCACTCCTGGGGACTTCCAAGTAAAAGAGAAAGTTGGTATCCGGTATAAGGACTCGCAACTTTTATCTTTTAGTTATGGCGATCGCCGCCATAACCTAAACCTGATTCACCACGCAGTTATAATTGGGTATCTTGTCATAATACGTTATTTCAGGCATATTTTTAGGTAACC